GGGGTGTTGGAAGAAGTAATTATCTTTACTGACATGGTAATTCTGTAGATTGTTTTGCTATGCAATTAGTCTTAAAGTAGTTTAAATAAGATGTTATTATTTTATTCATTTGATGTTAGTTTATTATAGACCAGATTTCTGAAGATGTCTCAAATATGGCCTTAGAGATGATCATTTTGCTGCTGGTAGCTTGCTTCCATGGCTTTTTGAAATGGGCCTTGAAACAGTCTTGTTTCTCAAGATATTTTTGGTTAAGTGCTGTGTGGCCTTTAAGTTTGCACAGTTGTTTTGTACGTACCCTACACTGACATACGCAATCTTTACTTTTTCTTCTTTGAATAATATTCGCAAACAATTTTGATTTTTGCACCTCCATCATTTTGTAGGAAACAAGTGCTACCAGTTAAGATTTCTGTAACTCTGTTAATTGATTTATGCCTTTTTTTCCTTCCAGTTTGCCTGTTGTTTTTCTTAAATGACCTTTTTACATATTCAGCAAGGAGAAGAAAAATGCTTTTTTAGGTAGTTTTTGCTGTTTATTTTTCAGACCTATTTTCTGTATGTCTTCCCTACCCTTTTATTGTTTTCTGCTCATGTCTGTCTTCAGTTTGCATTCTGCTTCTGTGCATCAAGTTAATTCTTTCTTTTCTAGAGTACATAGAACTGGAAACTGCTTGTAATCCTGAATTTAGCTTTGAATATTTTCAGTTTCCTGTGTCCCCTTTGCCTCTCCTCTGTTGTTTGAGGATTAGTTTCTTACCGTCTTTGTGTTCTGAGCAATTGAAGTGTCTTAATTTTTACTCTTTCTGGGAGAATTTTGGTACTATTATGAAGTATTTCTCAGTAAACTCTACATACTTAGATGGCCTCTCGCACCTCCTCTTGTGTTCCTGTGACTAGGTTATATGAGAATTCCTTCTCATTCTCCCCATAAATACTGTGTAAATCATTTCTGTATCCTAGTACAGGGTCTATTAAGAAGATTGAAGACTGCTGCTGATGGAACTTGGAGGACACCCTCAGACTGCCAACTTTTCATCACTATTTCAGTTTTTTTTGCCATTCCCAGCTAAGTGTTCTATTTTTTTCCCCAATTGAGTATTTCAGTTCCATTTTTAGAACTGTATTACTGAAGTGCAAAAAAAAAAAGAAAAAATGTCCAGGCTGGGAATACTATATAAACAATATTTGTTCAATAATGCCCCAATACCCAAAGCAGCCTTTTGATGTTTTTTATACAACTGCTTTGTGATCCCTGCTTGTAAGAGATAACAAGATGGTATTGAAGTGCCTCAACCAAACACATTAAAGCTGTAATGAAAGGAGGTAAAGGGAAGAAATTTGGTTAGTTATGGCCTTTTTGTGTGTTAAGGGCACATAGATGCTATCACGGAAATGAAATGCCACCATGACAGAAGTGGGCATGATTTTTAGAATAAATTAAAAAAAAAACCCCGAACAACAAAATTCTCTGCCTAGAGATGTGTAAAAATGAATTGCCTTTATTTTTTTCAGGTCATTCATTGTTGGAATCTGTTTTGGGTTTTTGGAAGTCATTGACCTAGTTACATACAAATTTTAATGTCAGTTTTGTAGCAAAGTTCTTCCAATACTGACATTATAAAAACAGGTTGTGGCCTTTGTTTGCACTTGGTAGTGTTGATTCTAGTAGAGACATCATGGTGAAATTGATCTAGTGAATTTCACAATTTTTAAATGACCTTTCAGGTGTACATTTATATAGTACTTTTGCTCAGCCTTCAGTTAATGCTATTTTGGGACTTTAAATGGGGAGGTGTAGTTTACAATGTTTAACATAGGCTGTTCTGTTGGATGTTTTCACCTGAAAGCTGTTTGGAATAAGCATTATGTTTGATATTTCAATGCTAAACCAATTTTTGTTGCCAAGGAGGAAGGTTTCTTGATCTGAGATAACAGATAGCTTGAGCATTTGAATATGTATAAGTGTATATTCTGTTAAGCTGAACAGTTAGGGTGGTAATTTGCCTGTTAAGAAGTTAGCAGCAGTGGAAAGCTAATGTATGGTCCTGGCTAGTGGGATGAGAAGGATCAAGTGGATGCTGTATCAAGGCATCCAGTTTGAGACAGACTGGCATTGTGGGCTTAAACCTGAAATGCTCTACAGAGCTACCGTGACCTTTCCCTGTCAGGGAAGGTCAGGGAACAGAAATTTAAGTCACTTCAGCTTACTCAGTTTATTCAACGTATCCTACAATGTGTTGGCAAAAAGCCACTTGTAGGTGAAGGAAACTACAGCTTGTACCAAGCAACCAGGAAAATCCCATGTGGACTTGGGAATGTCTCCCTCCCTACTCTCTTGTTGTTTTTTTTGTTTTTCTTTTTTTGTCCAGGGATCTATCCTGGGATTTCAAGCAGATGCAAAAAGACGTTTGTATCTATGTTTGTAAAAAGGGATGTAACTAGAGTGTAGCTTCAGTGGTGGCTATGCTGTCTGGGGAGAGCTTGGTTTTTCTTCCAAATGTTTTGTGAACTACCTGGTTTGGTTTTTTGGTTGTTTTTTTTTTTTTTTTTTTTTTTAATACCTGATGTTTGCTGTATCTGGTTTTGGGCGTAACTGTTTTCTTTTTTGCCATCTCTTCCTCCTGTTGAATCATGCCCTGACTGTTCTGGTGTCTGTTTCGGACAAGCAGCAAAGTGAGGCTGACATTAATTAACTGTTTATGTTTACCAGACATAATATAAATTTTGCTGCTAAAGTTCTATAGTACAAACCACATTTGGTAGTGTGCTGTTTCTTCTCTCTGATGAGCCCTCTCAGTTGCTGATTTTGGGTCCTGAAGACTTCTACTTGGGAGGATGTAATTTTCACTGTGTCTATGCAGACTTTATATGAATTAAAATAAAATTATAGGTCTAATAACTGTGATCCTGCCTTTAGTCTCTACAGGTTTTTAATATGAAACAGTATTAAGAATCTTTTAAACGAAGATACTGATTTTGTTGTTTGCAAATGCCCAGTTATTTTGGAAGAGTGGAGAGACTATACAATTGTAGAAGGATGTGAGTGAAGTGGTTTTTTGTGCTTTGATATTCCCCCCCCAGTTATGTATGTTTGCTGCCAGGGTCCTGTTCATCTTGTGATTGGCAATTGTTTTTCCTTGGAAAACCTGTCTTTTAATTAGAATGGATGGATCTTGTATCTTGTCCACAAGGGACAGTGCAAAGCAAACATGTTTTCAGGAAAGTGAAGGGGGAGAGCTTTAAAGCAGACAGCCCTGCTGAACGTGTTTCTGAATCTGGAGAGAAAACGGCTGTGTAGTTCTTGGAAAAGATTTGTTCATATAGTAGCCAGAAGGTTGACATCTCCTTTGTTTAGAACTTCTTCTAATTTGAAGAATCAAATTGGCTGTGTTTTGATTCATTTTACTGAAAAAGTAATGAGTATAGTAGTATAAGCAATACTATGTGAGGTCAGTCTGTATGGGTTTGAAATGTGGATCTTCAAGTATCACAGTTCCATGATCTAAATTAGAGAAGTTCTGTACTCATTGTTTCTGATTATATGAGATATTTTTTAGGGGGAGTTGGTGTATTGAGAAAGAATACATCTGCAAATCTTTTATGTACTTGCTGTTGTTTGGTGTGTATCTACGTTTAGGTGTGGTGTAAGTACAGGATTCCTGAAGAATTTTGATGGAGCTGTGCAAATTCTGTCTTACTGCTTGTACATAAGATGTCTTTTATGGGGGGAGTTCCTATGGCTTCCAATTTCTTCCTGACTGATTCAGGAAAGCTCTCTGTTCAAGTGAATGGGGAATGGCCTGCAGGAACAACAGTCTTGCAATCTGGACGAGATCTTTCACAGAGAAAATGTATTTTGCAACAGCCAGCAGTGCGTTATGCTGGTTTCACTGCTTTCTCCAATTGGGATCAGCCTGTTTGCTCCTCTGCATCTTTCTAGAAGTACAAATTCATTTCAAAGAATGTCTTGCGATTAGTTCATCAGGCCTGCTTGTAACTTCAAAATTCTCTTCCGGTTAGTAAATAAGTTTTTAAATTTGTTGGCTGTTTAGAACCAGCCTATCTTGGGGTGTCCCTCGTTAACATAGGAAAATTTTGCTACAATAGTCATTCCAAGCAAAGCAGTTCCCTTGTGGGACTGCTCTGGAATTGCATGTCTACTGGCCTTTTATTTCAGAATAATTCATGTTTGCAAAACAAGGAAAGAAAAAGAAAATCTTGCTGCTCTTTAGTTACAGCTTGCTGAACTCTTCCAGGGTAGCTACTGCAGAGAACTTCTTTTCAAAGCGTCTGTCTGGGTAATATTCCTGTGCATGAGATTCCAGCAAAAATGCATTAGTTTATATTTCCCAATAATAGGATTAAAATTTAGTAACCGTGTGTGTATTGGTAAGAGCATGATTTAGCCAGCAGGACTTTTATATTTCTTATGTGACAGAAACTGTGTAATTGCCGCCTTTCTGCCTCTGGTGTTAAAGAAGATGCATCACTTTTCTTAAGATAATTCTTCAGGAATTATTAGGTCTCACTGAGAAATCTCTCCTACTTTAGAGTTCCTTATTGTCATTCTCCAATGTTTGTTATTGTTGTGTAACTGAAAAAGTCATAGGGAATACTGCTATCACTGCCTCTTTACTTTCTTGTGCTGTCCTGCTATAAATCTGCATTATGTTGCAGGAGTTCTTTGCCGTTTTTTCCTCTTTGATCAGATAAGAAAAAAATTATCATTTTGCCTGATCAAAAGCAACGAACAAAGTTTACACTCCTTTCAACCAATTTTCTTGTTGGAAGTTCTCCAGTAATTTATTGGACATGTTTCCTTATAAAGGCTTGTTTCCACAGATGATTTGTTTTACATTGGCTCCACAAAGCGATTAAGAAGTCTAAAGGTAGACAGAAGGAAGGCAGCAGACTCTTGTAAGATGACTTGACATTTGGTAGAAGTCAATGTAATTTTAATAATACTTGAACTATGCAACAATCAACAGTCTGAGCAAATGACTGTAAAAAAAACACCTCATGGTTCTTGTGCATCAGTGAGGCTCCAGGCGAGTCTTTTTTTTACTGCCTTCTTGCTGTATGGACTTGGTAAGAATGAGAGCAGATGTTGGCTTATTTACTGAGCTAATTGGTGGAATCTGGTGAGTTCCAGGACAGTGAAGCTCAAGACACCTGACATGCCTTTAAGGACAACTTCGCTGGAGCACAAAACAGTAGTCCGTACAAATGCTCAGAAAAATAAATAGGCATGTAAGGAGAGCAGCGTGGGGGGAACTCGTGACTGACCGTCAATGCAGAACACTCGTGCAGGAGGTAGAAGTGAGAAGAAGTGCTCTCAAGGATATAAAAGTAACTGCCTGCTTATGCAGAGATGGTGTTAAGAAAGCCAGCATTCCACTAGAGTTGAAACTGGTAAGGGATGTCAAAGGCAACAAGAAGAACTCCCAGCACTGCGTCAGCAGTTAAAGAAGAAAAAAGAGAAACGAGGGAAACACGGGCTTGCTGCTGACTGTGATTTAGCGACCATGAATATAGACAAGGCTGGGGCAGTTGGTGCCTTCTTTGCCTTGGTCTTCACCAGCAAGGTCTTTTAGGCCTTTGTACCTATAGACGGGGCTCAAAGTGGAGGGTAGCTGTCGATAGTGGAAGAGGACTGGGTCAGGGGTCTCTTTTGGATATGGAGAAGGCATCTTTGCATGCTGTTGGGTATAGGGCATGAGTCTTCTAAAATTAGAAATGCTAATAAGGACTTGGAAAAAGAGTAAGGAAGCCAGTGAGGTAAGAGTTTGAGATGAATGTGAACTGTTATTCATAGTGTTACTTCAAAATTTTCAATACAGAGTCTTGTTCATTTGGCTTGTCAATAACCCTGAAGTGTTTTTTGAAAGTAACATCTCTTCCTGCTAATGAAGCTGGGCAATTACGAAGTCGTGCACTGCTGTCTGCTGCTTCTGAATTCCTGAAAAATGTGATTAGTAATACAGCAGGTTGCAAACCAAATTTTCTCATAAGAATTAGCATAATGGATGGGAGCAAATGCCTTTTGATACTTAAGTGCACACAGTTGAAATATACAGGGACAGGTAAAGAAGAAATGAAGGATAGGGAGGCAGAAGCAAGATCATTAGGACTGTTAAACAGTAAAGATGCTGGCTTTTTGGAGTGGATCACAGTTCTTGCAGATTTCAGCTTTTTAATTTGTGAGAGTAAGTGCATAATTGCTTCCCTGTTATTCTGCCCTTCGTCCTTGATTGTTTTAGATTAACCTGAAGATGATGTTGACAGTGATGAAAATAAACCGTTAAGGAGGCAGTGAGAAAGCTGGTAAGATTTACATCACATATACTGCCAATGTGTATTGAAATAAAATATTTAAGTCCCTTTGTGCATCATCTTTTCTTAACTTAGTGCTTCTGGGAAAAATGGTTTTACTATCCATCAAACTCGGGTACTTATCTGTGAGACGGATGATTGTTCACACAGCAGAGTGTTAAACATTCAGCAATGGAAGTTTGACACAATGGTTAAAGAATCAACAGGCAGCAAGATGTTCCTCTATTTGCCCTTTTTTCTGAGCAATCTGTATGAAGTTCCTCTAGCTATCACAGCTCATACATATTTCAATTTAGGACCAGGAGTTAGGGTCCAGAGGAAAACCTGACTGATCTGCCACAAATGGTTAGAATTTGTTAATGCTTTTCTGGATCTGACATAAATGAGTTTGTGGATTTCAGTCTGTGCTTAAAGTCCTGATGAGCATTCCAGTGAGGTGACAAAATAGGCGTGATGCTGCTGCTACAGACTTACTCCTAAAAATTCTGCCGTACCTTTGGTCATCAGTATTAGTCTCTGTCTACATCTATGGTATGAAGGACTGGCTGAACTGAATTTGTATTCTGAACAGACACATATCCCTCACATCCTCCCACCGGCAGAAAAAGATCAGCTTTGTGTTTACTGCTTTACCATGTTCCCAGACCGTTCTTGGTAATGGACGTCTATGAGACCCAGGTTAAGGAGAGCATCATTAGATACTGTATTATGTTCCAAGAACAGATTGCTTTAATAAGGGAACGTAATGCAATTTGAAACAAATTTCCTGATGTGTGGAGTACTGTGGCGTCTCATCTAATGTATGACTTCACGTTTGCAATGGATCCAAATCGTTCCTTCTACATACAAAGATAACTGTGGGAGTGGTGTAAGACACAGTGTTTTAGCTCCGTGTGTAGTTTGGTGTGTGCCCCTCTCAGCTTCCTGCTTTTGAAAGATGAAACAATGAGCAGTAGTGTGCAGCAGCTTGTCCCAAGGATTTTGGTTTCCTGTCTTGATGAGGTTCTTGGTAAGGACTTCAGCTATTTACTACTGTCCCTTCTCTACTTGGATTATATGTTCAGGAGAAGCCACTTCATCTAAGTCTCACCTCCAGCCCTTTGAGACTGAGTGATCACTCTACTCACGTGTAAGAAATGTTGCTCAAGAGATGTTCAAAATATGTTCAAAATATGTTCAAAATGAAACCCTGGTGGTTTGGGGATTTTTTTTTTTTCCCCAGTGCAGCTGATGAACCTTTATCATGTCTCATTTTTTTGAGCAGGCATTCCACTTATTTTAAATTATGAAGTGCGTTAAGAAGTGGTTTGTTGTTTGTCACTGAAATTTATGGGGTTTTCACATTCTGTAATACCAGTAATTCTTCAGAAGTGTGCTACAATGAGGGTGCTCTCAGGGAGGCTTCCTGAGCTAGTTCGTGCTTTGTCCAGGTTATTCCTCAGTTACTCTTTGGTAAGATTTCAGTGCCCAATGTCCTCTCGTAAGCAGCTTGCATGGAAGGTGCCCAGAGTTGACAGGAGAAGGTCAGCTGAAAAAGAAAATTATTAATTACGTTCTAGGGGGGGTCTTTTGAAGCAAAAAATCTTAATAAGGCTATCTTTCTGTTTCTTATGACCCTGTCCTTCTCCTTACTTTTTCTAGACAGTTGACCTCACTGCTGCCAAATTTGACTTAGATTTACTTGAAAAAATATACACAATATGCGTTGGTTTGTTATTCACCTATAGAGTCAGCATTTTTCTGTGCCATAAAGCATAGTTATACAGCAAAGTGTTAGAAGAAAAGACGGCTTTCATTTGTTGCTGTCATTCAAGCTTTGTAGGTGTTTGGCCTTGTATTTTAATATTTATTTTGTGCTTCTGCATACAAGTCCTATTTTAATAGGTTCTAATGCTCTCATGTAATATGCTCCTGTCTTGTCTTACTGCACTAGTAGAAATGTGCTGTCCAGTAGTGCTGTGTTTCTTGATCTCTGGTGGTCTGTTTTCCATTTTTAGAAAAGTCGCCTAAGATACCACTAAATGTATATTTAAAGATGTTCAACACTGCTTTTATTTCATCTTATGCTAGGTTATGTACTGATTTTATGATTTACCTGAAGTCTCAAATCTTTTCTTTCAGAACTGGTAAGCTGAATTGAGGTTGTATAGGGTAATGCACATTCTACCTGTCAGGAGCATCTGTTGTGGTTTTTATTTTGTTTTTGTTTTTTAAGAGAATTGTTTGATAGAAGCATTGACATAGAGACGTTTCCTAGCTGACAGCAGTGATTGTCAGAGCAGGTTTTCTCATGACGTGGCTGTGTTGACTTGCCAGCTGCAGAAAACTGGAAGAGTTTAATACAGTTCTATTAAAAAGACAAAACCTTATTGGTCAAACTTTCAAAGTATTATGTTGATATCTGGGTCTGTTGTTTGTTGTTAGTTTTAACATGGTAGTAATCTTGAATCACTCTTAAACCCCATGTGTTCACAGATGCTTATTGGGCCATGTAGCCCAATTTTGCATTTTACACAAAACTACAGGAGAACATTTTAAATGCAGATTCTCAAAGGGAATTTGTAATTTCAGAGCCTTTAAGTATTTCACAACTTCTTACAGTTTGTTACTACATAGACGTTTGCAGTCAATTCAGTTGTAAATACTTACATATACACACACACACAGAGTGGTACAGACAGTATAAAACAATGTTTGTGTGTACATTTAAAGTATAAAACAATGCCTACACTTATGAAGCTGATATAATACATTATACAAAAAAACCCTGAAAGGAGTAGAAGATTGTAATAGCTTAATGTACTCAGGTGAGCATAATTATTATCATTTTGTATAATGTTCCTGTTAGTATTAACATGGCCAGCCCATGCTAATACTAACAGATTAAATTATTTAGTCTACAGAGTGAAATAGTACTGCAAGATGTTAGAAGATGGCAGCAAAAGACATAGAATTTCTTTCTGAGTGTTATAAAGAAAAATAACTTTTTCTTTTCCAGAAATATTTCTGGAGAGATTAGTATTTGGGGTAGAAAATGTTAAATATGCTATTCATTTTTCTGAAACATATTATGTGTTTAATTTTGCCCTAAGAGATAGAAAATACATTTCTCTATGTGGCTTTTAAGTATCCCAAGCAGGTTTAGACAGTTGCTGGTTTATAGCAGACTTGTGTCCTCTGATGCCTACGCAGTGTGATACCACTGTTTTAGATGCAGCGAGTCTATCAGATGCTCCTTTGGGCACTGTATAGCAGAGGACAGAATAGAGTGCTGTTTGCAGGAGTGATGAAAGCAAGCTAAAATTAAAATACTGCAGCATTTTGATGTTTAAGAAAATCATGTAGCTGTATTCCAATTTTCAGAGCAGTGGAAAGAGTTCTGTGTTGGAAAGTCTTGTGGGGAGGGATCTGCTCCCACGAGGTACTGGAGTTGTCACCCGGAGACCCCTTATTCTGCAGCTGGTGCATGTGTCCCCAGAGGATGGTCGGAAAACATCTGGAGATGAAAATGGTAAGTGTGATCCAAGAGTGAGTTTTGCCCGGTAAATGAGAAAGAGACTTTTAATTTTCCTTCTTTGTTTGACTGAAAAAATAAGTTGTTGTAAAACTTCAATGTGCTTTTTTAAAATTTACTTGGATGAAAACACAGCTGTTGTCACATCTGTTCTGTCCATTTTGCAAATGTCATGAAGTCAAAATCTTTTGGATATTCAAAGTGTCTTTAAGGTTCTAAGCTTTCCTGTTTGTTCTTGGGAAACATGTTTGAGAAAAGCAAGCCGAAGAAAGCATTTCAGTTATGATAATGATTGTCTAGAGTGTAGAGAAAGTGATTTTCTTATTTGTGTTTTTCATCCCCTCCTCTTTTGCTGTATAAATAAGGTTTTTCCTTGAGAGGATGAGTATGTGACTTTTTTAGAAGAAGGTCAGGAAATAGAGAAGTTCTGAATAGAGCAGAAGGAGAAATTAAAATGAACTTATAGCAGATGCAAACAGAATTTAATGGGCAAGTTCTGTAGCTTACAGATGCTACCTTGCTAGGCTGCGCTGACAGATTCCAAGCACGTCAAGAACAACACTTTAAATGTTCTGAAGCTGTCTAGTTTGAAGCTTGTGTCTTCTGTAGTGTTTTTATATTATCCTTCAGCAGATCAAGAAAATAATCTGTTGTCCCTTGGGAGTTTAAACACTCATTGTATGCTAACTAGTGTTCTTCATCTTATGAAAGAGCAGCAGGGGCATATCCACCTTCTGATAAGATAAACCTTAGCTTTTTGGTCTAGACAGTAAAAAATACACAGGCTTTTGATAGTGTGATAAACTTGGGGCTACAATTATTAGTTTTCATTGTGTTCACATTTTTTTGGAATTTATTTCTGGCGGTAGTAAGTCAAGGTATCAGAAGTTCTTTACAATATTTGTTTTCATGTAATATTTATAGCCTTTGTTTTCTGAAGAACAGTTACTAATGTTCTGCAGTTTAAAAGGCTTAAGCTCCAATTTTAATTGTTGCTCTAAGCAGAGAACACAATTTGGGTTCATAACAATTAAGAACTTCTAGTGTGCAATCCAGGGTGTGCTGGATTGTGAGAAACTGTAGGATAATTCAGATTCGAAATGGTCTCAGGAGGTCTCTAGTCCAACCTCCTCGTCAAAAAAGGACCAACTATGAACTCAAGACCAGGTTGCTCAGGGCTTTAACCAACTGAGTCTTGGAAACCTCCAAGGGTGGAGAATTCAGAGTGTCTCTGGGGAACCTTTTGGAAATGGCCCATTTGATCTCTTTAAACGTGTTATGTTACTTGCATCATGCAGTGTGTGGCTTCTAGTACTTTACAGAATGCTTTGCTTCTGAGTTGTAGGGTAAAATACGATTTTGTTCTGTTCTGCAACTTTACAGGTACAGAAGATGGGTTTGTAGTTAGTATTCTGAGTCAAGGCAGAGCCTTTCTGTTGTAGGTTGCATTTGATTTGGGGATTCATATTTTATATTTAAAATGGGATAATGATACTATTGCATAAGGGTGCTAAATAAGTATTTATAAGGCCCATTTAGATCTTTGGGGGGGGGGGGAACAATATGTGAGATGTACATGTTGTAATCTCGATGTTCCTTTGATAGAGACGTGGGCTTGTTTGGTAAGAACAGACAAACCTTTATGACTTACCAGTTGTGTTTGAAACTGCTCTCTTTTCCCTCCAAAATTCAGGCAAATCACAGTCTGGTTTTGTCACTAATCTGTTTTAGCATATGTATAGATTGTGGTGTTACATCTGAGAAGATGAGACAAGTAGCTCGGAAAGTAAAAAGATGGCAGCCTCTTGTCCTGGCTATGCTGTTTGATATTGTAATAAGTCACTATATTATTACAGGTCATATTTTTGTTTGTTATGAAATGGATGTTGAGGTAGGGTTGAATATGTGTTTGGGATTTCCTAGAGGGAAAACTATCCATAGTCTTGCAGAAAAGGATTTTCTCCAGATGAGGTGTTTCTTCTTTACAAATTGAATATTGGACAAAAGAATATCAGCCTCGGCACGCTGCTTTCTGAATGTGCTAGTAATGAACTCTATGTGCACAGATACTTTTATGCAACTGCCTCTTTGTTTTGTGATTTCTGTTTTGTGATTTGTCACCTTTATCCATCCTAATGCTTGCTCCAGGTATGTACTAGTATTACATATAAATACATCCATTTAAAAATGGTACTAGTCTGTGGTTCTTGTAAGCTCAAATTTTACCTTTGAGCATTTGCATCCAATTTGCATCCAGAAAGCTTTCCTGTTTTTAACACAAAGCACTTGGGATTGCTGTGGTATTTGTTTAAGCATGGACAATTGCCTTGTCTTTATGACTATCAAGGAAAAAAATCGTGTCTCTCCAATAGCTTAATGTTGACATCTTTGGATGCACGTGAACTGCCAAAGAATATCAGTTCATATCAGTTTAGGGATTTTGTTTGTTTTGTTTGGTGTTTTTTTGGTGGTTTTGTTTTTTTCTTTAATTTTTTATTTGATACTTGGGAGCACATTGGGAAAAATTGTTGAGAAAGAATTGCAGCGAGACGTTGGAACTAACTTCTAATTTTCTAACATGCAACATTAAAGATTGTCTCTGCTGTTCCTCAAAGTCACTGATGAGCTATATACCCTTGTACGGTAGTCACTGCAGTAAATCAAGTCAGAAAATAGCAGAGATGAATTTTCCATTAAATGTGAAGAATTGCTATGTTTTCATAGCATGATATTTCAGACTGATGCATATGTTCCACAGAGATGCGTGTGGTTTGGTTTGAAGGAAATGTTCTCATTATGCTTTTGCTGTTTATTGTTAGCCTCTAGTGATTCAGCACATATGATGTGTTTGATGTGGTGACACCACACTGGTGTTCTTTTATCAAATTGCAAGAGAAGCAGCGTTCACAAGAGAACTGAGCCTGATCTCGTGAATTATTAAATTGGTCTTGTAACTAAGACCTATTCTGGTAGCTTATCCATTTGTTAGGAAATGGAAAAGAGGAGGGAACTTAGAAATTGTCAGTTAGTAATTGATTATAGGTTCTTTTTTTTTTTTTTTTGTCCAAGATAAGAAGCTGAACATTGTTTAAATTCTGAACAAATAGAATTGGTGTGGAAGACAAGTCTAATTAATACAGATCTGTTGTTTGCGAAGTTAACACTGTTTCGTCAGCTTTTTGCTCTGTACTTCAAATAGGGATCTCTTACCCCTATATCCCAAACAGTGTGGACTGCTTCATTGTACTTAGCTTTGTAGAAGCACAAGAGAAAAAGAACTTTCACTCAAAAGAGCTTGCTGTCTAGTTAACATCTAGGATGAAAAACATGGTACAACATACAGAAGGGATTGAAAGATGTGCATGTTTTTTTCACAAGTTGGATTTTTTAAAATTTATTTAAAGAAAGAGTGCTAGGAAAGGACGAGGGAGGAAGAGGGTTCAGATGGTAGTCTGCTGGGTCCAGTAGCTGTGAAGGTATGGGAAATGGAAAACTAGGAAAACAGATAAGATTCTTCATGCTTTGCTGATTTTGGGTTTTTTTTTTAGTATTTGGGAAGTTCTAGTTGTCATGCTGCAGGAATTCCTCTATGGTGGTAGCCCTTTGTAACTCTGACCAGCTTCTTTATGATCCCATTGTGTATGAAGAAGATTTCTACTGCTTTAGGAATGGAGAAGACATACTCAAATAGCTGAAGTCGGTTAACATTGTACTGTATTTGAGCTTCTTAAAGGCACATTGCAGTATTGAATCATAGATTGGTTTGGGAGGGAAGGGACCTCAAATATCATCTAGAGGCAGGGACACCTCCCACCAGACCAGGTTGCTCAAGGTTCCATCCAACCTGGCCTTGAACTCGGCAGGAAAGGCAGCATCCACAGCTTCCTCAGGCAACCTGTGCCAGTGTCTCACCACCCTCAGGGTGAAGAACTTCTTCCTTGTATCTAGTCTAAACCTGCCCTCTCCCAGCTTCCAACCATTACCCCTCATCCTATCACTGCAGGCCCTTGTAAAAAGTCCCTCCCCAGCCTTCTTGTGGGCCCCCTCCCGGTACTGGAAGGCCACTATGAGGTGTCCCTGGAGCCTTCTCTTCTCCAGACTGAACAACCCCAACTCTCTCAGCCTGTCCTCGTAGGAAAGGTGTTCCAACCCTCTGACCATCTTGGTAGCCCTCCTCTGGGCTCGCTCCAGCAGCTCCGTGTCTTTCTTGTGTTGGGGGCTCCAGAGCTGGATGCAGCACTGCAGGTGGCGTCTTACGAGGGCAGAGGGGCAGAATGATCTCCCTTGACCTGCTGGCCACACTTCTCTTGATGCAGCCCAGGATACGGTTGGCTTTTTGGGCTGCAAGTGTACGCTTTTGGCTCATGATGCTATCATCCACCAGCACCCCCAGGACTGCTCTCAGTCCACTCATTGCTCAGCTTGTATCAGTGCTTGGGATTGCCCCAACCCAGGTGCAGGACCTTACAAGGAGGTAACAAGTAACAATTTGGAGGAGGGCAGTTCTGAGAAAAATACTGTAATCATGTCTAGTTTTCTAGTATATTTATTAAAGTTTTCAGGTCTCACTCCAACCTATGAAAAGCTTGAAAAGCAGACAGACTTGCTTTATTCAGAAGATGTTTTTTTAAAAGCAGGATCTGTTTATTCTTAATAGCTGCTCTTTTAATAATCTCTTACAATCTGTAATACTTAATTTATAATGACTGAAATGTCATTTCTGCACGCTTTTTTCTAGCATTGAATCTTGAATGTCATCAGATGATTAGTTCACCTGAAAGTTTTGCCCGAAAAGCTTCCAGTAAGTAATGTAACTGGAGGAAGACTGATTTACCAGTGAAACTAGTGATTATAAAAATGTTCTACATGTAAACCAGAGCATAGGATTGTTGCATGTAGGCTAAATGCTCCTTGCTTTGAGCATCCTTGCATTTTGAGTAATGCAAACCCTTCCTCCTTTCCCAAGATCTCCTTTGCATTAAATTAGAGCTATTGAGAAATTTTTCTCAGATATTAAAGGGGTGTCAGTACAGGCTTCCTCAGAAGAGTTTCCCCATTGTATAAAATCAAACTTCTAAAAGCTTATACTTGGACCAGATGAGATTTTCTGTACACCTCGGGATACTGCATTTATTCCTTAATTTTTTCTTTCTTTTTTTTTAATGTGTGCCAAGGCTGAGTTTAAGACTAAGCCATTTATCATGGCTTCAGTCTTCTTTTGTGTTATACATAGCCAAGAAAACTTGCAGCTTGTTAAAGCTTAAAAATTTTTCATTCCTTTGATCCGTAGATGTTAACAAGTTAAAATGCAGTGCCTCTGACTAGAGTGCATCTTTTCTTAGTATGTATTTTAAAAAGCGAATAGATTATACTAAAACAAAACATTCTTTATACATAGAACTAAGCCTAGTACCTAACTGCAGATTCCTATGCCACCACAAACCCAGTAATTTAAGACTAAAACAGTGTGTCCTAGGAGGGACATAACAGGAGAGTGCTGGGTCCCTATCTTTCAAATGTAACGGTGGCAGCATCTTGCTGTATCTTCCTGGCTTTATCCCTGTCTTTATCTTCTTAGATTCAGTTTTTGAGAGGGGATGAGCAATACAGTCTTGAATGATAGAACCACAGAATGGTTGGAAGGGACCCTAAAGACCATCTAGTTCCCACCCCCCTGCCATGGGCAGGGGCACCTCCCACTAGACCAGGTTGCTCAAGGCTCCATCCAGCCTGGCCTTGAAGACTGCCAGGGATGAAGATACTCTAGTTTCTTCCTGGATGCACATTTTGCTTTATTTCCTCTGAACTGTAAATAAACTAAACCTGTATAATAACCTGGAATTAACGAGCCTTTTCATTTTGCACTTGTTTTGGAGGCTGGTATGTAATTCTGCCTACTTGTCAACCAAGGCAAAAGCTGCTGCCTTACAATTGTTTCTTCATAGCTCATGTGCCTTCAGAGCAGTAAGGATAAAAATAGTTTGTTTTTAATTTTTTTTTTCTTTAATGGATTCAGTCAATCTAAAGCTTTGATTTACCCACCTGAGCAAGACATTAAAATAACTCTTCAGACATACTAGGCTTTCCAAACTGATCAACTGATTGTTGCTGTGCTGCTTGCATTTTGTGCCAAACAAGCACATGCCAAAAATTTCTTCACCAGTTTGTTTTGGTTTTTGTACTTCCATGGTGCTGTACTGGCATCATACAGAAATTACAGAATTGTAAACTCATCAACCCTTCAATGAAAAGGTGTTTATAATGGGATTTCCATAATTTTTTGAGAAAATTAAAAGTTGAGAAGGGTGATAGCTAATCTTCTTAAATCTCTCAGAATTGCTGTAATTGTTTTTTAATTAAGCATTAGAAAGATTGATGCAAAACCTCAGATTTCTTTCCCATACAGTAATATTACTTCCATGACATTAAAAAAGTTTCCTTACTCTTTCTCATTCTTTCCATGAATAAATAATGAGAAACATATTTTGCCAAAGAAGTTCAGCTTTGCAGAACCTAATGGTGCTGTTTTCTGTGCTCAGATAAAAATATTGTGAGCTGTTGGAATTAGATGAACAGCAATAATAAAGTAGTCATCAAGAAAACTTTGTCATATAGAATATCTGATTAATATGTATCGTTTATCAGTGTTTAGTGAAGATCTTATTTCTGTGCGTATTGTTAACGTGACACATTCTCATCAATAGTAGAATAGCATGCACATCTGTCTGCATGCATTTGTGATCTTTGTAATACAGTCTGGTACTGGAAGTTAATAAAATGCTATATTAAATATGATTAAAAATTTTAAATATCATTCAATGCTGTTTCTCTTTAACTGCAGACCCTGCTACATGGAAAAATCCAAGACACCTTTCTAAAGGTTGCCTTTATCCACTTGCTTTTTCTCCCTATGCATAAAGTGCATGCTTATATACACTAAACCACATACATTTCATGCCACTTTATTGTTGATTACACTTTTACTTTCACACGTTGGCTACTATGTTGATTATTTTGCTGAGTCTTGTGATCTAGTTGATTTTTAGTTTTCTGACTTTGTTGCATTAGAATGAGATGATTTTTGCTTTTCTTCTGTGCCGTTACTGCTTCATAGAATTTCCTGCACTTTTGATTCCCAAATCCTTAAAAAACAATCTCTATTGATCAGTATCTTGAAATTCAACTTGAGTGGAAAAAATGTTTTGAAAGATGACTTGATTGTAGGTAAGCAGTGTGTTTGCCAAATGGCCAGATTTCTTGTAGACTGTTCTTCTAGAGCAGATCGCTGTATTGGGGAGCAGAGGGGAAATGAACACAAACTAAAAATTTGAAATGGAACTTACCACTAATACGGGGAAACCTAGTTGTGGAAGTGTGAGTATCTTGCAGTGTGACGCAAACTGCTGCCTGTGCTACAAAGCAAGAATTGACAAAACCTCCTTTGCTGTTTCTGGGACTGCTTTTGAATAGCCCCCACATAATTCTAGACATCAGTAGTGACTGACAAGAGTTAAGATGTTTGGTCCTTGACAGATTTGGGAAAAGACATGTTCTCCTAAGACTTCATTGTTTTGCAGAATTCTTACGTATTTTCTGTTTGCTTGGTTTTGGTTCTACAGGTTTTTCTAACTTTTTCTTTCAGCTGTAATTTGATCTCACTTGCATGGTGAAAGGAAAGATGCTAAAAGCTGGCAATTTTTTCAGGTTTTTTAAGCTATTGCTAGTGATTCATTTGGTTTCTGTTGCAAGCTGATATTTAATGAACTAGATCATTTCTGAAAAATGGTGGGATAGCTCATTGGCTCAGTCACAATTAGGAAAGTGGTCCTTGTGTAAGAGAGACAAATGAAAAAGAGCAATGAGATGCAATGTTTAAATGAGCAGAATCATAAATGTATTTGTCCTGAGCTATTTAATACCTAATCATAGAAAGCAGATTGATTTTTCTCTTGCTGCTTGAAAAAAAATAATAAATCACATGGTAGTTTTCAACAAACAGGCTCTTGGAAAAATGTCATTGGAACATCTGCTTCCTCTTCCTCATGTATCAATTCTTTGTTTTCAGAGATAGATGCTGAAGAGTGGGGTAAATTTCTTCACACCAAAAATAAGGTATGTTTACTCTTGTGACATTGCTACTCCATCATCAATGTGCTGTCATATGTGTACTTAATTCTATATCTCTTCCCTTGACTCCCAAAAAGGAGATTATTGTGCCTGTTACATTATACGCCAGAATGGTGAGGATTTTCTGTTCTGCTTTTTATGAGTACAAAACTTCTGAAAACATTTTTTTTAAACTCAAGACAGAAAATTTATCAATGGTTGTCTGTTGTGTGGGTCACTGATTCTGCTGAGTTATTTATCTTAATACTCTTTGTGTTATTTTGTTTATTTTTCTTTTTTATGCATTGACAAAATTAGAGTGGATATTGCAAAGGCAAGGAAGTATGTAATTGTTTCAGTCCGCTGAAGAATTGACTTCAGAGATTTATTAGACAGCTGTGAAAAGGAAGGAGGAGCCTAATGTGTGTTGGCAGAGATGCAGAAACTGAGATGACCTAGGACTTTAATAAGAGTCAAAGCTTGAAGAAAATCATCTTTTTGTTGGCAGATGAATTTTTTAAGCGTTTATTACTTCAAACTGATTTTCTCACCTTCTAGGCAGTGATAGAAGTTGAAGGAAATGTTGAGAGGAATGCAGAGGGTACCTGTGCAAGGGTAGCGCTGTGCTAACTTGTTTCTGATTGGTGGAAGAAAAATAGTTTTGACGAGTGGAAAAATTTTGAAACGAAACTCTGTCCTTGTTCTGTGTCCTCTTGGACATGAGAAAGGGTTCGGGGTACATGTTGTTTATTAACTTCAAAGGATTGCAACTAGATTAGAAATGGAATTCAGTGTTTGAAATTCTCTTTAGATGAACGCTGTTTTATACATTGTCTGACATTGATGGGGTAATAAGTGCTAATAACTGCCATCTCAGAGTATTAATCAACAGATTAAATACCAAGGTGCCAATTTCTGTAATTTTAGCACTGACAATTGCTGGTAGCATTAGTTTAAGGGCTAATAGTCATTCTTATTTTTTCTTACCTTCGATATATACTTACTTACAGTTTTTCCACTGTCTTTTGGAGGAGAGAGTGTTATTCTGCAATTAGGTAGGTGGCTGCTGTCTTTGATTTTTTTTTTTAACAATTTTTTTTCTTCTGTACTTCAGATCTATACAGACTTTGATGAAATTCGTCAGGAAATTGAAAACGAAACAGAGAGGATTTCAGGAAATAATAAGGTAAATGTTGCACTGTCCGTCTTTGTCTTGCTATAGATTCTTTTGCTGCTTAAACTTTTCTTAAACAGTTTTGGCAGCTAGAAGTGAAAAGCGTTGAACTGTTCTAATGAAGAATACAGTAATGCTGCTTGCTATCGTGATATTTTTTCAACGTGTTCTTGAAGTAAATGACTTCAGCTAAAAGAAAATGCAGAGAATTGCTGTTGCTTTACTTCAAAGCTTCTATAATCTGCAAAAAAATAAACTTTGAGTTAAACTTGCTTTCATTTTTCCACTTCCATGGCTTTATGTGTAATCATAAAATAGAGTATTCTATTCTTGCATATCTTTATAATCACTGAGATAGAAAAGCTTTCATTCATTATATCGAGGGGGGAAACAGGGCTGCTTCCAAAGACAAAGGAATTGGTTGACAGATGTGGCTGGCTTTTTTTCCTCACCACGTAGTTGTAAGGTGTATGATGGAAGAAAGTTTTTCCCAGTGTGAAACTACAGCTTTTCACTTTCTAAAGGGTGTATTTAAATAATCCAGTACAGTGATTAATTTTTATTATTAATATATTTCTAGGGGATCAGTCCTGAACCTATTCATCTTAAGATTTTTTCATCTAATGTTGTAAATCTGACTCTTGTGGATTTACCTGGAATGACAAAGGTAATATGCAGAATGCTGCTCTTCTGACCCACTGTGAACAGTGTATTTTGAAACAAGCAATGTATGTTCTCTCTTTGGCATTATTCTGTATTGTTAGATAAACAGCTTTATGCAGTTTTAGTTGGTTATATAAATTTGAGATGTCACCATCTTCAGGTGTAAGGTTCGGGTTTCTGGTGCTCTTTGCTGTCGTAACAAGTAATTTGCTTAAGTTCTTCCTCTTTCTGTGTACAACTGAGGGATTGGAAGCATTGTGTGGGCTGTGTGTTCTTTTTAATAGAAGAGGTAGCACTCGAACTTTCAAAATTGTACCTGCAGATAGATGGTAGTTGACAAGTTTGAAAATGTTTTCCCCATTGCTTCTCCAAAAGTTGCTGTGTATTTTGTATAAGAAGTTGCATAAAATGAGGATATGCTTGAAGAAATGTTCTGGTCCTGTTTGTTCAGGCTTTATACTGAATAATTTTCTGTGGCACAAAGATGACAAGATGACTTCTTTCCCTGCCTACGCACATGTATATACCTGACGCTGCCAGTTGTGCAGGTGGTTATTGGAAAGCAAGTCTTCTTGACAACAGTATCACATAATTTGAATTGATTCTTGTTTCTAGAAGAGTGTTTTTCATTTTTATACCTTTCAAGATCTTCCTTTTCTCTCCTTTTTGCTTGTGAAGGGGGAAAGAAAGGTCTGGAAAACTTTATCTTATGTGGTGGTACAGGGATGAACTTTCAATGAGTGGCCTCACACAGGCATAAATTCGCAATTTTGAACAGTTCTACATTGTTTTTTTCTCTAGGTGCCTGTTGGTGATCAGCCTAAGGACATTGAACTTCAAATAAGGGAGCTAATCCTTCAATTCATCAGCAACCCAAATTCAATTATTCTGGCAGTCACAGCTGCTAACACAGACATGGCCACTTCAGAAGCACTTAAAATTGCACGGGAGGTGGATCCAGATGGTAAGCAGCAAGAAAAACTGGATCCTGTAATTCAACTTCTTTTTTAAATTAAATCTTAAAATAAAACTGAAGTCGTTTGCACAAAAAGTAGTATGAAAAACAAATGTCACTGCATTTCCTAGAAAATACAATTATTGTATTTGCTTAAAGACTTCCTGCTGCAGTCTCTGCAACTCAGAGAATGATGTGATGAATCAATATCTAATAGATTTCTGGCTTACAAACAGGACAAATAACTATTTTGGTAGTCATAGGAGTCACTTCTTTTTCCAGAGCAGCAAAATGGCAATACAAAATGTTAGGGGTTTGGAGACTTCTTTGGTAGTTTACAGTGGTCTGTTATGATGATTTCATGCTTTATTGTCCAATGTTGTCTCTTTTTTTCTTTTTTAGTACAGAAAATACACCATCCTGCAGCTAGTAACTAACTGTGTAGCTGTTAGTTTAGTGACTTAGTAAGAATAAAATTAGTATATACTGTCAGTATCTATTTTGATGCCCTGTATTTATGAGACAGAACTGACCGATTTGATTTAATCTAAAAAGAGGATTATCATTTCATATTTACCTAGTAACTTTGAAACATATCTGAAGCTACTGGGTGCCTGCTGCTTGCTTATGGAAAGTGCTGTCAGTACCATTGACTAATAAATGGCACTGTGTGGTTTGGAAGAATATGGAAGAGTATACTTGGAAAATGGGAATACTGAGATTAGGCTTAAATTTAACATTTGTTGTAATATTTGTTGGTTGTTTTCAAACTCTGAGTTTTCTTTGGCCCTGTCTGCCTAAGCCGTTATGGGTTCCACAGCCACGTAACCTCATGGGAGAACCTCTTCTGCCAGTCTTTGCAGTCAAATTGTCCTGGTTCAAGGCAGCAGAACCTTTCCTCTAATTTACCCCTGTGAAAATGATTATCTGTGACTTTTGGATCACTTCCCAAAATCCTAAACCTTAAAGATGTGGAGTGGCAGCTCATGTTGCAGGTTTTGTAGGAAGAATGGTACGTAATGAGAACTTGAAGTACTAAAATAGGTAGGCTGACTTGCATTCATCTGAAAGTTTCAGGACCCAAGAACCTACTGATTTTTGCTGAGGTACTGGTTTATTTTTAGACTCAGTGTGTTATAGTTTAAAGAAAAAATTCTTGCCATGTTTTTTTCAGACCCAAGAGCCCAGGAACTATGAAGGTCCCAGACAAATCCTGTGCATGTTAGCAGCCTACCTGCTTAGATGTGCAATGCTTACCTATTTAATGAATTTAGGTCACTCTCTTTTCCATGGTGTCAAACATGAAGCTTAGTCTTAATTCAGAAAACATTCGGTCACATATTCAATAAAAATATGTTTCATTAGCAAAAATAAATCCCCTAAAGCTGCTTCGGTGGGTGGATTTCAAACTATTCTGTCTCTTGGGGCTTTCAGCCATGTAGTTGATGCACTGTGCTGGAAGTGGGCCTGTTGCCTCCTTTAGCAGCTTCTCCAGTGGGTAGTGGTATTTCAAATATAGTTCCAAACAGATTGCCATTACATCTAGTCCTACATATATGCTAGAAATATGTTCAGTCCACTCAGAGTTGCGAGTCCCCTGCCTGCCTTTCTTAGTCTTCTTCTTAGTAACTCCGCTAACTTCACCTACTATGCAAAAATGTTTGTTGTAATCAGTAATGACTACAATTTCAAACTGTGTGGTGCCTAAGTGGGGAGCAGTACCTGCCAGATACTTTCTTATTAAGGGGCTCCAGATAGACTAATACCACATGTTCCTGTGCTTGTCTTTGCTGGTTGGCTGTATTAAATTTCATGCAGCTGTCTGAGGAACTTTTTGAATGATGAGTTTTAGCTACACTGATCAAGACAGAATATCCCTGTGAGTGAATTTTCTTTTTGGTAGGTCGAAGAACCCTTGCTGTTATCACAAAGCTGGATCTCATGGATGCTGGCACTGATGCTATGGATGTGCTCATGGGAAGAGTGATTCCAGTCAAACTTGGCATCATTGGAGTAGTGAACAGGTCTGTCTGGGCACATTGATGCTGTTTTTAAAGCTGTGTTGATATGAAGTAATGCTTTGGCTTTCTTAATCATGAATATGGTTTTAAGAATAAGTTGACTTGATGTTGAAATAAACTTCTGAATAAGCAAGCAAGAAACTTGATACTCACCTTTCAGAAGCCTGCCTGTTGCATCTGTTAACTAGGGTGTAACTCTGCCTTTTTGCTTCAGGAGTCAGTTGGATATTAACAATAAGAAGAGTGTAGCTGATTCCATTCGTGATGAGTATGGCTTTCTTCAAAAGAAATATCCTTCCCTAGCCAATCGAAACGGAACCAAGTACCTTGCTAGAACACTGAACAGGTATTACATATTCTGTAAAATAAATGAAATGTGTGCTTTTAAAGATACTTTAAGGTATAAGTTGGTGTGTGAGAAATATGTGTAAATATTTATTTTTACCTTTCCTTTCTCTTTTAGTGCTGTACAGTGATACATTAAGGAAAACTCTGGTTCCAAATACCATTTCTGCTTTTACTGTAATTTTCCTGAGTAAAGGTTTTCCTTCCGTGACTATTTTCTGTCTTTTCTCTGTTTTGATGGAGATGATAAACCTGAAACATTTCCTCCTTTCTAATGAGCAACTATTTTCTTTTTTTAGACTACTGATGCATCATATCAGGGATTGCTTGCCAGAACTGAAAACCAGAATCAATGTTTTAGCTGCTCAGTACCAGTCTCTACTAAACAGCTATGGGGAACCTGTTGAGGACAAAAGTGCCACTTTATTGCAGCTTATTACCAAATTTGCCACAGAATATTGTAACACTATTGAAGGAACAGCAAAATACATAGAGACTTCGGAGCTGTAAGTATCAAATGGTTTTCTAGAATATTGACTGAGCAGTTAGATTGACCCAGTGGCTCTTGCTGGCTTTCATTGGCAGTAGTAATACGCTAGAGCGTAACATAGTCAAAAATGTTTCAATCCAAGTAACTGTAAAAAAATGTTCACAATGAGAACTTTTTTCTTGTTTGCTGCTTCAGTTGTTATTTTACTCTTTCAGCTGCGGTGGAGCCAGAATCTGTTACATTTTTCATGAGACCTTTGGAAGAACTTTAGAATCTGTTGACCCACTGGGTGGCCTTAACACAATTGATATTCTGACTGCCATTAGAAATGCGACTGTGAGTGTTCTATGGTATTTTTAAATGTTGTTGCTATATGTTCGATTCAAAGATAAGGTTTCAACAAATTTGTGCTTCTTCAGTCCTGTGGATTAGTGATCTCAGCTGAATGAGTTAATACGAAGAGGCTGAATCCTGCTTTTTGGTATTTTAAGTGGAAAAATTACAATATCCAAATTTGCAGCCATTATCCTATATGGAATGAGTTTAAGGTGAATGCTCACATCTTATTACTGTTATTTACAGGCTGAACTAAAGCTCAGGCCCAGCTTTGGCAACCCTCTGGTGAAGCTATTGTATATTACAGAAATGGTGGTGGAAGACTGCCTCTACATTTATTTTGGATTAAGCACTTCTGTTAGTTACGAAGACTCAGTCTGAGCTGTATGGGCTAAGACACATTCAGGAATCTTAATTCTATATAAGAGACATAACTCTTCAGTGATTCAGTGTTTATATGACAGATTTGGGTTCTTGTCAATATGGAAATTGGTGTTGCTAAGACTTTACAGAGTAAGCACATTTTAAAATTTTTCAGTATATAGAGTATTCACTCCTTAGAGTTTGACTTTGGATGTCAAACACATGAGTCTGCTTTTGTACTGTGGTCTGTTGAGTGTGAACAGACAGTCAGGTTTCTGCATGGTCAGTAATTACTCAGACTTGGAGCGCAGTTAGGTACTCTGCAGCAATGATCCATGTGCATACTCTTACCCTTCTGTAAATGTAAAATGTAAAACAGTATTTAGTAACACGAGAGATGTCTTGTTTTTATGTAACGTCACATCTTCGTGTTTCTAAAGCTCATTTAACTTAAAATAAAAAGAAATTTCAGGTAAAAAAAATGTTTTCTGTATAGCTAAGCATTGGTCCATATGGTCATAAACGAAATTATCCCAGACACTGTAAATTAGTGACACTGTATTATGATTATACTTAACAGAAAACTCATCTGCCTTGCACTAAGAATTGTATACCCAGGTCTGTCAAATAAATAATGGTAACTTTTCTCTCTGAAGCTAGGAAGAGAATGTCTTTGCTTTTATAATAAATTTAATTTAAACTTGGATCCACAAATGTAAAAGAATTGTTCATAGTTATAAGCCCAGGGTGACATTAGTAGGTAGAAATCTTCAAGATTCTATAAGGATGCTGGTTAATCATTACTTAACAAAGAGTTTGTCTAAAAGGTAGTAACTTGTATTTTATAGCTTTCATATTTAAATATTCTTGTAACACACTTTACTCTTAAGACCTGTTCTGAATGTTCTTTTGAGTACAAGCACTGTGATCTGATTTATTCTGGGCTTCATCAGATATTACTGCTTAGAAATGCATATTGTTTTAATACACAAGTTTAGCAGCTTTTTCCCTCCTTTTGAACTAGGGTCCCCGTCCTGCCTTGTTTGTTCCTGAAGTTTCATTTGAATTGCTGGTAAAAAGGCAAATCAAACGTTTAGAAGAACCTAGCCTGCGCTGTGTGGAGCTGGTTCATGAAGAAATGCAGAGGATTATCCAGCACTGTAGTAATTACAGTACACAGGTAAAAATATGTGGTTTAGAAATACGTTTGTAATTATTTGGCTTCCCCCCTCAAAAATATTCTGGAAATCTCATCAGTAAATTTTTTTGTTTTGTTTTTAGGAATTATTGAGGTTTCCTAAATTGCACGATGCCATAGTTGAAGTAGTAACCTGTCTTCTGCGTAGAAGGCTTCCTGTCACAAATGAAATGGTAATTTTCCATCTACTATAATTTTGTTCGGAAAAGTGTGTGTTTTCTGGAGTCTTTCTTGATGCTCCTGTTTGCTCTGTAACATCAGGAACCCAAGTGATTAAAGGAATCTTAACTTATACTTGTTAAATAGCTAGGTATTTAATATCTACATGGTCTGAAACTTCCTCTATATTAGAAGATAGATACATAAAAAACAAAGGAGTGGGGAGGAACCCTCTTGAGCTCATTGTGTCCTATGTTTCAACTTCCCAAGAAGAATTTTACTGAAACTTGGATTTAACATCTCCTAGTCTTTCTGATATAGGTATATTTCCCTCCCTTGTAGCAGAAGCTGTGCATTTGGAATGCCATGATGAAAATTAAATTAGAGTCCTTATTCTGTGTGTTTTGGAGGTAAAATCCACACAAAATGTTGATTTTGCTTGTAATGCCCCTTAGCTAGTGAGAACTAAAAATTCACCTTCTAGCTTTGAGTAAATATGTTCTAATAGAAAAGTCTGCTTTGGGTTTCTTATTGGGGAGGAAACAAAGTGTTTCAGTTATTAACTCTGCGTATGTTTGACTGGAAAAGCAAAAATTGTTCTGTATGGTCACTGCCCCCCATAGTGAGCCATCTCTCACTGGTTTAAATGTTGTACATGGCTGGTGGCTGAAGGTTGACTATGTAGCTCACTTCATTACTATATATCTTATGCTTGTTAAATTGCTGAATTTTGTTTGTTTATTGCTGGAGAGGGGTTACCTTGATGAAGCTGACAAGCTAAATTGGTGTAACATCAGCTGAAGGTCTGAACGTGTTGCAATGAATGAATGAATTCCCTTCTTGCCTCCTGGATCAGAACTTCACTGTCTCTGGGGCAATAGAATGGTCTTGTGCTATGGACAGTTAGACTGCGCTTTCTAGCATTGTAGTTCATTGCTCTTCACTAGCATTAGTTTCCTCACTGAATTTTTGAACTGTGAACGACATTGCATTGCAGGTTCATAATCTAGTGGCCATTGAGTTAGCTTATATCAATACCAAACATCCAGACTTTGCTGATGCCTGTGGTTTAATGAATAACAACATAGAGGTAAGAAAATACATTCTCTTAAAAATTTTTTTGACTCCTTTAATTGAGAGTTTAAATAATTGGTAAAAGAAGAAATGCTTCCACTTCTTTTATTGAAGCACAGTTCTCTACGTTTTGAAGTATAAAAATGTGATATATTATAAATATGGTGTATACTCTTATCTCGTGATCTGCTGGTTTATTAGATTCATATTGCATATTACATTCGGGAACAGTGGTTGATATTTTACTGAAAATTCTGCCTGTATTTCTGTCTGGAACATAAGATGGGCATGGAATTGAATACTGGCTATTAAATGAAATTTTTAGAAGAGAAACTCGAAATAGGCAGTTGTGAAATACTCTGTAATGTTGAAGGAACTGCATTTTGTCTCTGACAGAATGTGTGAATAGGTGTAAGTGTTCCTCTCATCTATGGAAGGATAATACAAGTATTGTTTCCTCTGTTCACGTTCTAATTTCTGCTTCCTTTCGGCATTGTTCTTGACGCTGCATGTTACCATGCTTCCATCTCCCTAAGACAGTTTTCTCCATCAGTCTCCCATAAGCCTTTCACAATTTCAGTGGTCTTTCTGTTTTTCAAGCCCAGCTTTGATTGATGATACTCGTTGCTGTCATCATCCTATAGAAGCAGTTGTTCTACGACTGATCTGCTCAATGCTTTCTTGCAATCTGATTTTGTCGCAGTACTTCATCCATCTGGCTAAGAGCTCGCTAATACTCTTGTGTTCCCCTGCTTGTCTAACACATTCTTTCACAGTAGTGTTCTTTTTTTTAAATGCTTATGTTATAATTTCTGCTGTTTAGTTCTGACCTTTTACTTTCTTCTCTACATAAATTTTGTATTAACTGGGTATGCAATTGAATTTGCCTTGGTAGACTGCTCTTGAATCTAGTTCAGAAATAATGTGTGTGCAAACTGACGTGAGTACAAAAATTAGGACTTTGAAGTTAAACATATAAGGTTATTGTATTATCGTGTGTTACTTAAACTAGTTCTTTCCCCACATTTTCCTGAACAGGACATTGAAATTTTTGAAGAAACAAAGCACGTAAAACATCTTATCCTTATTCAGTGGACAATCAATTTTTAATTTCAAGAAAAATCAGATAATTGTTTGTCCTGATTGCTTCAAATTCTCTTTTGCTATAAAGTGAATTCTGCCGCCGCCTCCTTCCTTTTGGGCTAATCATAGTTAACCCTGCTGGCCACAGAATCAAATCCTTTTAGATTACTTTGAAAACTTATAGCTTAATGAGGGCTGTAGGGTATCTGTGCTGAGCCAAACTGCATAGCTTTGATCTTGTTTTTTAAAGGCTATAGTTTTGATTATGGAGTGTGTTCGCAAAAAGTTTTGCAGTTTTTATATTGAGAATTTACTTTTGACCAGGTAATCAGAGTAGTTTTAGCTAAATAACTGAGGTTTTTGTAGGATTGTAGTATGACTACATGACACTGGATGAGATGAAATTACTAGTGTTTGTCTTTAAAATGTAAGCCTTCTGTAAAATATGAATCTTGCACATGTGTTGATACAGAGTAATACATAATTGAGGTCTTGCTGGATTGTTTTTAAAGGAACAAAGGCGTAACAGGTTAGCCCGGGAATTGCCTTCTGCTGTGCCACGAGACAAGGTAAGTAAATGTTGATTTTTATTTATTTATTCATTTGAAGTTTGATGCATTCTCCTTGGATCCAATCTAAGTATTGGAAACTTTGATATGCTGCCCTAGTAACAGTCTTGGGAGCTTCCAGGTATTGAGTTTTTTTCTTTCCATTTCATAAGATAGAAGTGGAATGTTATTTTCTTCTTCCCAAAGATGCAATTTTTGGCAGGTTTTAAATCTGGGATTTCTGAAAACTTGCCTATAAATTTACATTAATATTACACTTACTACTTGAATGCCATCTTGAATGTCATCTGAGGTAAGGCTTAAAATGCCTGCAGATGTTAAAGATGGAGTCGGAACTTGCATGCTTAAATTCACGGCTTCTGATGGCTACTACTAATTTCAAAAGATAAGTGATTTAAAATACTCAAGTGTGCCAACATAGTGACTTGGTGGTGCTTTGGGGTTGGTTTTTTCTTTTTCCCTTTTTTTTTTTTTTATAAAATCAGTCTTAAACCTGCAATTTATTGCAGTCTTGCTTTCTTTGGGAGAGGATGGTAGAGATGATGTTTTCAGTTGATCATCATAATCCAGTCATGTATTCTGTCTCTGGAGCTTCATGAGTCTTATGACGTTTTGGGATTAGTTCAATGACAAGTTAAGTACATGGGTGGAAGAACCAAGTGTCATGGAAAACATTGGCTAGCTGTAGAAATTAACAGGCAGACAATCAGCTGGCATTTTAGACAGTTAGGTGTTATGTGAAGTATTTAGAATCCAAATATACAGAACATAGTTTAAACTCCTCATAGGTGGTAACAGGAGTTTTCTACAGCTGATAGAAATTGGTTCATTAGGTTTGCTGGCTTAAAAAGTGAGACACTGTCACAGAATGGATCTAATATTACTGGCTGGTAGAAGCCAGCTGATGGATAAACTGGGAATTTAAAGTAGCTATCTAAAGATGGCTTTCAATGCTCTTTGATCCTTCCTTCTGTTGACTTCATGTTTATATCATCAGGATAGGAGCCGAAATGAAATTGAAGGCCAGATAAGCCAAAAGTCTCTTACCTGTCTTGGAGATGCTTTTTTTTCCTTTCTTTTCCCCTGCTTATATTACTCTGTTGCTTGCAAATTCAAAATGTTTTCTTTTCTCGATTTGTGAAGATGCTAGTAGGTTAAAGTGTATGAAATCTGCTAGGTAGATTTGGTGGTCTTCAGTTGAATTTTTTTTTTTCCCCCCCTCCCTGCATTTTTTACCTTCCTTAGTCTACTAAAGCTCCAGGTGCATTGACACCTGCTTCCCAGGAGACTGTTACTGCTGCTTCTGCTGAGGCTGATGGCAAGGTCTGTCTTGATTTTTCCTATAAGCACTGCATGCACATTTCTGTTGTGGTCCACCACAGATAGTATGGAAAGCAGTTTGTATTTAGTGCTCTGTCACTGACACAGTATGCCCTACAGAGTATGGACTACTTGGCATTACTGATTTTAGTATGTGCAGTGGCAGGTAAAGACATGCCATTAGGTGGCAAAGTCACTGCTTTCTGTTTGAACTCTGGGTTGCAACATGTTGTGGTGCAAGTATGAAGCATAATTTGCCTCCAACTATAGTCAACAGATTGTTTAGTGCAACAGTATTGTACTCAGAAGTGTTCAGCATGGTTGTTAAACTGCATGTTTTTAATGTGTTGACAGTTAAAGAAGGAGGACAGAAGATAAGCTAAAAATGTGAGTTTCCTGCTTCCTGCAGGGAATCTTTATAGGCTTTGTTCAAACTGAACCTCCTTTTTGTTGTTTAATATAATCGTTCAATCCCTGGTTTACTTATGCTTGTGAAATGTGTTCTGCAGTGGTATTTTACACTTTAGGAGTGCTTTCTCTAATGTTTAAATAACAGATTTTTTTGCTAATTGCTTTCACTTGGAGTCAGAAAAGATGGTAGTCACAAGTTTGTGTATTAGAGTACCAAGAGGGCTCAGGCTTTCTGCTTCATTGCATATGCACATTCAGCTGCTAGTGCAAAGCTGCTGTTTCTGTCCTGAACAAAATAGTTCAAGGAAAAATCTAGTCTGGTAGGATTTTAACTATTACTTTCGCCAGAGTTTTAGAGGTTCTGATATGCTGCAAACATTAAAAAGAAATCAAGAGCGACTGTGAGGATACTGTTGTGACTTAAGAAGTTGCAGGAAGCTGCCAAATTTGGTTTCATTTGTTTCCCACAAAACCTGTCCTTTATTAGGTGGTACGTACTTAACACGCTTTTTCTTGCTAAAGAATGTAGCTTTGTTTCTGAAACTGCTTTGGAGATGGAGTAAGGCTCCACAGTAACGCTGACTGAGTGGCATAGGGGTTTTTGCTGTTTTGAATAGCTGTCTTGGAATCAGAAATAACGTAATGGAGCTTTCCTCGTCAGTGGTTCTCTCTCATTAGCAGAGGTTGATTTGAATTCTTATAGTGTATTTTTTACAGAGCTTCTGAAGAGTTGTGCAATTTTAATACAATTTCTGATGTGCACAGTTTAGCTGGGTCTCCTAGTATGCAACTGTGGGTATTCCATTTGCCATGCTTTGTCTCTCTCTTGTTTTAGACTCACGATCAGCCTGTGGTGTTTTAATTGTAAACACAATAGGTAAATTTAGCTTATTTCTTACTATATCTGAAACAAGACATAAGCAGTAATAGTAGTTTAGAGCCTTGAATGTTTTTCAAACAGCAATAGATTTTCAAGCACAGCGGTAAATAGAATGGATACTAGACTTATGGAAAGGTACAAAAGAAAAATTACCACTGTTCCACATCAAAATAAACTTTTTTAATACTATTTTAACATGTGGTGGATACCATCTACTAATACTTCTTTTGTCCAGTGATTCCTAATGTTTAAGAGCTAGGTGTTACGTCCTTTTCTCAGGAGATCAGGGAGTCATTCCTTGTCTGGAACTTCCCAGAAACTCTGATCTTCACTTCCAGAGGATGGAGATTTTTGTTTTGTTTTGATTTGGTACAAAAAAAGCCTTCTGTAAATTGAGGTCTGGCAGCACAAATACGTTCGTAGCTGTGGTAGCCAGAAACATAAATGTGCATATTTTTTAGCTGTTCTTGTAAGAAACTAAAGTTATATTTAAATAAAATACCAAAGAATCTAAATTCAGGTCTTCTAAGAGCTGTGGTGATCTTCAAAACATACTTTCAGAATGATCGTGATAGTATAAGTTGTATTGCTCCAAGGATGTATGGTGAAAGTGGTAAAAGACTAATGATTTAGGAAGACCATTCCTTATTTTAGAAGTGATTTGTAGACCCTTAAAATGCTGGGGATCTTCTCTGTGTGAGGCATTTTCATAGCATTTTTAGTAAGAATACAAGTTTTAAAATCTTTCATTTTACTGGTAGTTTGTGTCAGCTGTAAACAGCCAAGGGAGAACAAAGGTGGGGAATGTGAAGAATGAAGGGAATACACGTATGAAAATCTCATTTTTAGAGTCTTGCATATAGCTCAGTAATAAGCCCTAATTCTAACTCTCCAATGTTTCTTCATTGTGCTGTTTGTGCAGGCTGCTCCTGGAACAGGAGATACGTCTCAGGAGCCTGGAACAGGCAACTGGAGAGGAATGCTGAAACCTTCAAAAGCAGAGGAGGTATCGGCAGAGGAAAAATCCAAGCCAGCTGCAGCCCTGCCTGCTAGTCCTCAAAAGGGACATGCTGTAAACCTATTAGATGTGGTGAGTCATTAAAGACAAGTACTTCCGCTTTGTAGTTCAGGCTCAGGAAATAAAACATCTGATTTCCAGATCTTGTAGCTTTGCTCTAGCCAGTCTCTTCTGCTTTCCTTCTTGCCCAGTCCTTCTTCTTTCCCCACCTCCAGTTTCAGCCTCTGGTTTGGGATAACTGGCTTCCTTTCACAAATTGCTATGCAAGTGAACTCCTTGTCTAGATCAGTCTTTGTACAGAAACAAATCTCAGCTGGTGTCTCAACTCAAATTCCTGCTTTTTTTTTGCTGAAGTTGGCATTTTTATATTAGAAGAAAAGAATCATTGAAGACAAACCCACTGAACTTAAAAATAGATGGAGATCTTTTAAGTGTTGGAACGCTAGGTCCTTTAGTGAGCTTTTAAAGAAAAATTTAGTAGTGGTGCCTCTGACCTTTGTGTCACAGGTCTGGATTTTGACATGTCTAATTTTATTTCTGAAAAATTAAGAGGTTTGTTGCAAGACAGGTTACATCTATCAAACTATCAGTATGAAAGAGCAATAGTTTGACTCCACAATTTTAATTTTAGTAAACTGAGGTTTTTATTTTTTTTTACATAGCCTGTACCTGTTGCACGCAAACTTTCTGCCCGTGAGCAACGAGATTGTGAAGTGATTGAACGACTTATTAAATCTTACTTCCTTATTGTCAGGAAGAACATTCAGGACAGGTAAAACCAAACTTCCTAGAAATGTTTAAGCCATACAAATGTTGTGATATCTCAAGTCATGTATATAATCTTGTTATTTTATCATGTTCTTGTGTTTGTAAGCAGAGAGAAAAAATAGGGCTTTGAGCTTTTTTAGAAGGGGCAGCAGCAGTAAAAATTGACCTTTCACAGAACTAAGAGGCCTGAAGAAGCACTTGTTTTCTCTGATGGATTGTATTATGTTAGGTTTTGTGTTATATTAAGTAAAAGGTTTAATTTAATTGTTTAGGAGATGTCTGCTTTTCTGGAGGATACTGCAATTCAGATGGATGATTTGCAGCAAATAACTGGAATGAACTCTAGATGCTGTGTAGCCCTGTCAGAACTTATCTTTGGCGTCTTGTTACTTCAGATGGGAAGGTCAAATAGGAACTACTGTTCCTAAGTTTTCTAGTACTTGCCTATACAGATGGAACTAGTATAAAAGTGATGTTTCTGCTGTGTGTAACTATGGAAAATGCCTCCAGGGTTTTGCTTAAAAAATTGTCATACTTTTTTTTTTTTTTAATGAAGGATGATGTAAAACTTTGCTTTGCTTAAGTCTTTGTGGACTTATATATGGGAAATTTTGGGAGAAATACAGGAATCTAGAAACCAGAGTTTAGAGCAGATCAATGAGGTCATAGAAGTTTTATTCTATCCAGTAAACTAATATTCTCCTCAATATAATTTTTAGTATTTCATGGCTTTGTTTACCTTAATTTTACTGCAGCATTAGTATTCGTAGTGTTACTTCCTTGTGTACTCTAAATAATCCCTTGATGTTCTTTGCAGTAAATATGCCTATGTAAGGAAAAAAATAAAATGCTAGCTCAAGCATTATGAATTTGCTGTATTGGGACATCCTCACCTAATTCAGAAATATTTTTAGGAAATACCCCTCAAAGATGGTACTTGTATCCATCCCATAGCACACTTGCAGAACTAATTCAGGCTCTTACTTGGATGGTTTGGAGCTCAGTTTTGGGTTGCTTTCACTCTTAGCCAGGTGACTTCCAAAATATTCTAGGCTTCTTTCTTAAGCTCTTCTTTGGGTAGAACTTGCAATGTATCGGCTTGAAAGGAGGACATAAATTGAATTACTTGAGTACTAATAGATCTATAAGGTCTCATCGTGATTTCCCGTAAGTCTTCCCACAACTGGCTAGTAAAGAACTATAAAGCAGCAGAATGTAGTGGGAAAATTCCCAGCCAAACTTGGGAGTGTGATTCCCAAACCTCAGATGTGTTGATAGATCTTGGTTGATCTTGGGTCTAGCTGTTCAGGCTTGCATGGTCCTTGTCAAGTTAATTCTGCAGTGACAATAGAGCATTCTGAGGATGACCAAAACCCCTTGCTCTGCCCGTGAAAATTATTTTTACTTCAATCTAGGGATATGGGCACGTGAGAAGAGTGATGTGGTCCCTACTTAATGAGTCAGTGCTGATTGTACATCAACTCCCAGTCCGCTCTAGTTGCAAAATACTGCTGCTAAGAATTACACCAACAAGGTTGTCTAAACTAACATGTTTGATTTCTCAGTTAGGAACAACTGTCAGTATTTTATTGTCACTCTGATGAAATAACCTGAGGTGCACTAATTCAATTTTTGATCCTGTGTTTATATCCACAGATTTTGGTACTGCATTAGTATGATGATTTGATTTTCTCAATGCTTATGTAAATATTTTCCCTCACTATTTCAGAAAAGTACTGCTACACATATCCTAAGTCCCAAAGAAAATCAGGTTCAGCTAGCTTCAATACTTCGAATTATTTTCAGGAAGCTTAGTGGCATGGAAGTCAGAGCTGAAACAGTGGTTTCTTTCAGGTGTTTTTAGCCTGACAGAGCTGAAAAATGTTGCTTTACGGATTCTGTAGTGTCTTTCTGATGGATTGTTCTTGATTCTCATTGGTTGCTGCCTGCCTCCACTCCAGACAGATATATTTTTCACACTTAAACTCCATTTGCAGTTTTAAATGGCTCTTGTGTTACGCTCTCCCACGTGGTCTCCAATGTGGCCCATTGTTTGAGCAGTGATCCTCTTCTCAGTTCATCTGCTAAGTAAGATCAGATAAATGAATTCTTTCGTTGCCTCTTTCCTTTCTCATTCACATGTGATTTTGGGGTTGAAATACTTAGCTTTTTGTCATGTCTAGCACAGTGGAGACTCGGGTTGGTCTCTAGTGAGCAAAGTAATTTATTCTTATTTTTTACAGTGTGTATATATATATATACACTCATGTTCTTCACAATGCAGCTATCCTATTTGGAAGGAATCCAAGAGCTCTTAAATTGCACAAGATACTGCATTTACTTGAGAAAGAAAGGTTTTTATTTATGCTGGTGGTAGATTCCTGGCAGTTTGCGCCAAGGTTGTGTGTAGCCACTTGTGCTCACTGTGAATTCTTCAGTCTAGAGCAGACCTGATTTTGAATTACTCTTTCTGAAGCAACAATCTTTGTGCTTGCAGTGTGCCAAAGGCAGTGATGCATTTTCTGGTGAACCACGTGAAAGACACTCTTCAGAGTGAGCTGGTAGGCCAGCTGTATAAATCCTTGTTGTTGGATGACCTTCTGACGGAATCTGAGGACATGGCACAGCGCAGAAAAGAGGCAGCTGACATGCTAAAGGTATTAAAAAGATCAGGAGCTCATGGGAGTAGTTAATTAAAATGAAACCATATAAATGTGAGATTTTTGGAAGACTTAGCTTCCTTTTTTCTTTGCTGCTTTTTAAGAGTATGCCAGTGTATTACTTCTCTCTGCTAGAGGAATTAAAAGCAATATGTGACCAGACAGCATTATGTAAATTGAGTACTTGTGAAGAAGTAACTTAAACGATATCTTGGGCATAAAGCAGAAGCTGTAATCTGGTGTTATCTTCAATAATTACACATTTGATTTTAATAATTTGCTTTTATTTAACTTCATAGTGTTTAGCAGTCCTCTTTTGGGGGATTAAGCTTACAGTGTTTTAGGTGCCGTTCATATTTATGTTTCACCCAGAGCCTACTGGCCAATGGCTGGTATATCTAGGCAGTACCCCATAATATGAACAGTGGGAATGCTGGGACTTAATTATGATGACACCTGCGTACATCTGTATGACAGCGTGTTTGACACTTCCGTGTTACAGAGCTCTCCATTTCTTCATTGCTCAGTTAGGTGGTGTATCAGTGCCTGCATCAGCTGCGTCAGAAATGCGATGCTTTGCATTGAACTGCATAGAAAAGAGTCGCTCTGCCAGTTCAGCTCACTGCAGAAGTGGCAGGAGGTGCTTCTCCCTTGTATGCAGTGTGGTCAGTGTGTGTGTGAGGGACTGAATATGCTGAGATACCGCTTGTGCCAAGATCACGTGCAGCAAGTTAATGATCAACATTTGAGTGAAGGGAACTGTCTGTTAACGGTCTTTTAAACTGTAAACTTTATAGGGCTGAACTCATAGCTCACATTTCTCCAAATTGGAGTTACTACTTTGAATAATGTTAGTATGAGTTGGCATTCTGAGCTTTTAAGTTTGCAAAGTTTAGCAGGCTAGACTGTAATGAATGCATCAGAATGCTAAAAGTGATATAAAATAGGTGCAGTTTCTCTTTTGTTTTGAGGAAGATTTAAAGCATTGTAACTGTGTGCGGTGAAAACGTCTGCCCTTCTTGAGTTTATTTATAAATACAAAATGTTAAGACAAACATAGGTGTTAATGGGAACACTGAGAAGGTAAAAGTTGCACAAAACAATGACAATGAACTTTCTTTGCTTCTAACTGCAAGTTCAGTTTGCAATTAATTTTTAGTTCTTATCTGTCCACAGAAATGATTTAATGACATCTATGCGAAGTTTTATCATTACCTTTTGCTTTGAAGTATCTTCCACTTGCAGTGTTGTTGCAGGTTGTTACCAGTTATTTCATAATGAAAATGATTTGCTGTAATTTGATTTTTAACATTACACTTCCTAGACTGCTGCTGTTATCTTCTGAGAAATCTCTTCAGAAAAAATAAGTGACTTTGTTTTTTCTGTCTTTCTGTGTGCAGGCCCTGCAGCGAGCCAGTCAGATCATTGCAGAGATTCGTGAGACACATCTCTGGTGAAGACTGTACCAGCCACACTATTTATATGCATTGGAGGTTACATTGACTTGAAAATTGCTAGGCATGGTATACGGAATAGAATTTTTATTTATGAACTCTTTTATCTGTGTACTGCAACTGTGTAAATCTGCTCATGTAAAGACAGTTGGTTTGATTTGCAAACAGACAAATATGCTGTATTTTGCAAAATAAGTCGTATTTAATCCACATAATAAATGGCTCTAAATGTTTCCTTACCAGCTTTCTGGTGCACATTAAAGCAGACCAAGTCTACTGTCTCAGTGACAGTCTCATTTGAACTTGGGGAAAAAACCATTAAAGTTCCAGTGCCTGACTTGCTAAACAGGTTGCCTGTGGTTGAGATGGACGGTGTAGTCTTGTGGCATAGTTTTAAGCTGCTTTTACAATAGAAGTTTAAATACTGTGAAGAGAAGAGAGCACCGAGTATTTTCTTTCATCAGTATATTGCATGCACTATGACAGATGGAGGTATCAATTTTATAGCACAGTAGAGATGTCTACCGTATTACTATGTATGTGTGTCGCCATTTTTTCCCCCTAATGTTAAAACTGCAGACAAAACCTTGATACTCCATCAAATGAAGTTCATGTAGGAGGAATGAGCCTGGAGCTTGGGAATAACAACAGCCTACTAAAAAGTGGGTGCAAAGTTACTCATGTGCACTGGAGCTTGTGTATAAATGTTGGGGATTATAATCAGGTACAAGAACATCTTCCCCTTCCTCCCCCCTGGGACCAAGCCCCTGGACCATCCGATAGTAAAGTTATTCTGACAGAACTGAAAAATAAAGACAGATTTCAAAACTCTGACGGGATAATAAGTGTTTCTTTTAAAAACAGATCAAGTTGGCCAGGGAGAAGGGGATCCCCACAGCTTCTTCCAAATTTTTGAATGTATGACAGTCTGAAAGAACGTCTGTAGGATTGGAATATTTATACCAGAGATTACAGTTAGTTGTGAGGAAACTATACTGTGCTGTAAGTAGCTTTTTTTTTTTTTTGAGGACAATCCTAAAACTAGGGAATTTTAGGTTGAAAATTAAGTTGATGAGTTATTTTCTTCTGATTATAATTCATACAGATAAATATTGATCACACTAGCCTTTAAAAAGTAAACATTTTTTCTTTTTATGAATAAAAATTTATTTAAACTCCAGCCAGCACACTTGCATGTACTTTTCAAGCAGATTCACTTTTTTTTGTATAAAGCAAAAATGTTTACTGTGGTGTTGCTCATATTTTGTATCTTTAACACAACTTGCATGAAAAATAGGACACTGCTGTTAACATCTGTGGGCTGCTTTTACAATATTGGGCCTATATAGTGAAGTTTTTATTACCATATTCAGTTCTTTCCCCGTTTCATCAGTTAACAGGAATGGAAGTCTTTAAGCTGCTAAAGACTGAAAATTTAAAAACCGTTAAGAACTCAGTTTACAAGAAGGTCTGTTTAAAAATGTGGTTTTTCTCATGGTAATCTTCAGTTTGGCGCCAATAGAAGCACAAGGAGTTATGTCTGACAGGTGCAACTTTTGGATACTTTTATGCATGATCTGAAAGAATTCATGCAGAACACAGAAACACATCCTGTAGTTTTAAACAGCCTAAAATGTCGTGATGTATGATGACGTGTAATGAATACAACGGAAGTAACTTTAACTTCTTGCATTGTATCCAGGGATGGTAGTTCTCAGATTTAGAACTGTGACTGTAGTGAAGCGCAAGCCGCTTTCCAGATCAGTTTTGGTGAATGGTGAAAGCATAATAGTTTTGTCAAAATCATTACATTACATTTCTGTTTGGAATTCACTTGATACCTCTCTCCCTTTTACTTTCAACATCTAAGTGTGTTTTCAACAAGGTAGAGCCGTCCATAAGTGAACTGCTACCTAAGCTTTAACTCCCAAAGGTCAGTCAGTCTCTTGTGAAGAAGTGTTCTGACTTGTAAAGTTTTGAAATGCTGCATAGAGCAAATGAATTCCATTTGTTCAAGAAATTCCTGCAAGTGATAACTGGCTCTGTAATATCATGTGAAATTTCCACAGTGTTAATTTGTTTTTTGAAATGTTATGACTTTTTTTTTTTGTTAAGTTTCACAAAAGTTTTCAATTTGGTAATGTTTGAGTGCCAAGAAATGAACTTGATTTGTAACCCTTAATGCAAGTCTTTAAAAATCCATGCTGTAACAATCCGGTTGTTAAATAAACAGATACTAAGCTAATTATCCCAGAAATAAAGTTTTGAACTGACGTGTAGTTCAGGTGTCAGGGCTTACATGCTCTTACAAGTTACTACTCTACCTACCTACATTTGTACAGCCTTAACATATCTTTGCACTTGCCCTCATGCAATTCTGCGTTGTTAGTTCTGGTGCAGCTGCACAAGTAATAGTGTAGACAGGCTGCTGGTGGCCATCAATGGCTTTTAAACAATTCGTTGTCTGGAATTGAACTAAAATACTTAAAATGCTACTGCTACTGCCACCATTAAAAGAAATGATGAAGAATGGAAAAAAAACATAATGAAGGCAGCAACAGAAAAATTCCTAGAATAGACTGATGGTTTACAAGTATCTTCTAGTCCACCTTATTTAATTTAAACTTTTAATACTTTTGTCATCAATGCACAAATTTCAGCTAACTTTAAAGAACTTGCTATGCAGTGAAACACACAATCATGGGGGAGAAAAACCACTGTACCTAAATTTGGATTAGTAAATGTTTGACATTAATACCTGACCTATGTGTGGTACTACTGTAAATAAAACATAGTATCTCTATGTGAACAGAGTTTGTCAATAAATTGCTGGGGATTTTTAGTAGTGAGTTTCAAATTTCACTTGGTGGAAGGAGGTAAGTAAGGGGGGTGTCTGTGTGCTTCAAACTGTATCCTGAAGTAAACATAACAAAATTTAGGTAAAAAACTTGCCTTTATGGAGGACTGACTTTGAAAGGTGCCAGATTGGATGTTGCAAACTCAGGTCCCTGCTGTGCGGAATACAGCAGGAGGAGGAACTTGGCAGTCTGTTGTGACCCTTTGGTAACTGGAAATTAATTATCTGGAGTAATTTTTTTCCCCACAGTTAAATGCTTTGGCTATGAGAGCAAGTGCTAGCTAGTGGGTTTTTTTTTTTTCCTGTAGATACTGAAGATCTTGAATGCATCTGCTTTTTAACTTGTTGCCAGTTAAGCTCTGTGCTTTGAGGTGAGAGCTAGGTGATTAATAATTCAAAGTTGAAGAGAAACAGAGTAGACCACCTAAATACAGTTTTATGCCCAGTGACAGTGTTTAAATTAGTGAAGGTGCTTTCGTGCTTCAGGTGCTCCCTTTCAGTTTACTTGCTGCACACCCTTTCACCCTTTACCTCTTCGTTACTAGCTGCCACAATAATGTTAAATTCAAGTTCTCCAGTTATTGCTGTCCCCAGATGCTGTACAAATATTTGTGTTTGTTTTTTCTTAATATCTGGCCCAAATAATTACTTTTCTTCTTGCACTTCCAAATCATACATTTGTAGACACGTTAAATACTTTATTAGTTACTACTTGTTTACAGTTGAACAAGCTAGGTCTCTGATTACCTGAACATACCTGTTTTGGTGTGGATGAGAAACAAAACCAGGCTAAAGAAGAATACTCAATTTTTTGTCATCCTTGATTCTCAGCCTAAGTGTTCAAACACTCAGTTGCAATACCCTGTACAGTCATGAGAAGTAGTGGTTGTGTCCAGCTGTTTCTTTGGAAAAAGTCAGGGAAGGGTTTTGGCTGCTAGGAGTTGGTCAAAAGGAAGCACAGACTAATTTCTTGGAGTTTATGGATCTTATTAAAAATCTTGTCTGCAAAGGATTTAAATCCCTTTTTTATTTTGTATTTGTAAAAATAAATAAAATCCTTTTAATACTTGATCAAAGTGGGTACTAATGCTTTTTAAAAAAAAAAAACAAAAACACCTGAAATTTGTGGATATAGACGTGTATCTACACCATTTGGAGATGAAGGAAAAAAGGCAGGAGAGAGAGAGGAGACATGAAATGCTACTTACTGTACTCCTAGGAGTTTATTTCCTGCAACCAGGAAGTAACTGTCAAATCTGATCTGTTGTGTTTCTCTGGAGGCTAACATGAGTGTGCACTGGTGTATGTTGCTGTATTGCTATAATGCTTCTGCCATCTAAGGAACAAAGTGGCTCTATTAAAGTGGATGAACTTAACTTTCCCTTCCCTCCTTCTACCCTTTTTACATCAAAGTTGTGATTTTTCCTCCGTATGCTTTCTCTAGGGTCATTACTGCAGCTTAAGGCAAAGTAACACGCAACACAAACTCGTCTTGAGAGCTAACAGGGTAGGTAGAGCTTCTTTTTAAGGTAGGAATAACTCAACTACATTTTTTTTTTTCTTTATATAACAGATTTCATTATCAGGCAGATAAATGGGATCTAGGAACTGAAATTAATGCTAATAACTCCACATGGTGAGCCACTGAAAGTGCTACCACGTTACAGTTTAATAATTTGAAGAAACTGTGATGTGTAAGCAGCAAGCCACTATAATTTATTACTATTGAAATCTTGATTGGCAGTGCAAATAAAGCCAACATCAAGTTGATCAAAATCAAGTAAAGAAAAGGGGAAAAACCCCAACAAAAACAACCCACCTAAAAAAAAACAACCCCACCACTCAACAACAGAAGCTCTGTTCCCGACTACAGAATACCTGGATTCTTGAGACTTAATAACATTTGTTGTAATTTCCCCATTCTCCTCCTAGGCTGGGTGGTTTTCAAATAGCTGAAGTACCATGGCTTACTCTAGCCACATAGGAGATGGTGATGAGTGACCCCATTCAAGTAGCCAGGATTAAGGCCTCTCCCCTTGTGGCTGCTGCAACTGCAAAACTAGTGTTTAAGAGTTTTGTGGACTAGGAAATTATTCTCCTTGGCCTAAGAATGAGGAGGAGTACCGTACCCTAACCCCTGAAAACACCATGGCAGCCAAGGCCCAAAGCAATCAGTCACCTCATCAATCAGACAGAGGGTTTCCTGTGTGTTTGCGCTGGGGCAAAGAGGGTCCCTTAATAAAAAAGGTTCTGAGCCCGCCAGCACCATTCCTAAGTCAATTAACCCGTTCTAAGTACTTCAGACGTGGCCTTGTGCTACACATAATCTTGGTAACCACCTCTGGGTTGTGGTGGTGTTCAGCTGACCTGGCTGGAAGTACTGCTGCACCTGTGTTGCCGAAGCAACCCCATCCCAAACCCCACCATGGGCAGGGACTGCAGCAAGGTGGTGTGCTGTGTAAGCGGCTGTAGTAGCCAGTAATAAAAAGGCAGGGGTGGGTGGTGTTTCAGAGCAGTAAGGCAATACTACCTTTAAAGGTAGGTGTTGCTATTCTACCAACTCTCGAAGTACATTCTCACTTTCATGCTGTCTTAACAAGAAATTGAGGAAGCTATGATCCCAAGGGGTGGCCAGGCCGTAAGCAGTAGGATCGTTTTCTGCTCTTTCATGAAGACGTGCAGCTTTTGCATGTTGCCCTATCTGAAGGGTCTGACTTTTTTAATTGCAAAAGCACTACAGCTTCCCTCGTGTGCTTCCTCGTCCGGGTACCCTTATGCTGCTGTTGACCCACAACTCCTAGGCATCTAAAATTAAAAAAAAGCTTTCACATACATGCTTCAAATCTTCTGGTACAATATACTATCTTGCAACTGACTGTAGAGCCCACAGAACTAGTGACAGGATATACCTTCGACAAAGATGCTAGATGGCACAGATGCATCCACACAGTTCACAGGACTGAAGCAGAATGTCACCTACATTGTAAGTGACACTAAGCACACAGAGGGCACAGAAGGGATTCATCAGCCTGATTTAAGCTTTGAAAGGCTCTACGCTCTCTTACATTTGAAAAAGTGAATTTGCTGTGTTACCATGTTACAGCTGGAAAGCTTTTATGCAACGTGCCCCCACACATAACCAATAAGGAGCATACATCTTAGGACTGAAATCATTCTGCTTATTTATTGTGCATCTTTTGCAGATTCCTTCAAAGCAAACCTGTTCAGAAAAAAAAATAAAATTGTTGATCGTAGGTTGGTTGTCCTTACCCACTTAAGCAGGTTTCTCTGTTAGGGTGACGTCAAACTGGACAGCAGCATTCATCCCCTGTAAGAAGTACTGGTTTCAGTATGCTTTTGCTCATCTTCTTGCTGTGGATTATGCTGTAGAGTACCTGGCCACAACACAGAAGGTTGTTAAAGGAGGGGAAGACCATGTCCACCTTTGGACTTCGAAATTAATCTTTTCATTTTCTTGTGCATATCCTCTTATGAATGGTGCTTTGAATAAGGTAGAGTATCTAAAAATCTCTTCAGTGGTATAACTTAGCTGCCTTCATTTGAACTCTGTTGGTGTATTTTGAGAATGAAACCATGGTATCGGGCAGTCTGTGAGCTGTGTAGTAATGCACGGTATAGAAATATCTTCAAGTACGTCTTTTAGCAACAGAGCTGAAATTCTAGAGTCGTTTTAGGGAGACGTTCTGTTGTCACAACTGCAGCCACTTTATAACGTAGTAGTTTTTCTTTCCAATCCTAAGCAAGGATACTCCGTTCTTGAGAATATGCTGTCCGAGAATAAGAACAGTCTCTGGATTAGTTACTCGAATCCCATTTATTGAAACTCCACCATCTGTGATTTTCTGGTACCTTAAAAAAAAACAACAAAACATCAACTGGTAATTGCAAGAAGCAGCTATTTATTGCTGTTAAGTATTGAAAGTTCAGTTAAGGGGTTTTTGGTTGGATCCATAATTGAATAAATTTTAATTCTGTTGCAATTTGCTTTCAGTCCAGGTCAAGAGGGACTGAAATTAACCTTAAGCCTCTGCCACTCCCCTTCTTTCTGAGAGGTATAAGGAAACTTAAGCTGTAGACTGTCCCTTCATCAGCTGTAGATTTTACAGCTAAGGTACAAGAGACTGCATTATCCTACACTTTCACTTCAAAAATGGAATGAGGCTACCTGCTGCACTCTTCTTTAATGCTGGCATGTAGCTCCCTAGCCTGTTTCTGTTCGATCTGGCCGTCCTCATCGTTTAACCTCTGAAAAGCACTGCAGCCTGTTCACATAAGGTATTACCGAAGAGCACGGGTGATAACATACCCACTAGGTCCATCTGGAATGGCGTTTGCTTTGCGACACAAATCAAGAACATTCGTTCCAGGTTCAAGCAGCAATTCAGCTGAAGGAGCTTGTCTAAAAAGTTCCTGTAACTCTTGGTCAGACATAGCTTCCAGTGCCTCCACGCTGCTGTAATAAAGGGCCTGAGTACACCTGCGAGAACAAAGATCGCTCAAAATACAGCGCTAGTCCCATCTTCACAGAAAGTGCTACTCAACCAATCGTGTTCACCTCCCCAGCTTTTTCCAAGGGTCCACACAGTAACAGAAGTACTTAAAGTACATCCCAATTTTTTTTTCATAAGCCACTGCACTGCAATATTTTTTTTATATTGTTAATGTATCTTTAAGTCTACGGAATTACTAAATTTTTCTCTTTTAACAGCTGAGCAACAACTAACTACATGAAAATAGCTCCTGAAAAGCTATGGATCATTACCATTGAGTACATCTTAAAGAAAACTGCTTAACAAATCAAACTTCACCTCTTAGCAGATTCTAGCCCCTCTCTACCATGAACAAGCTTGGTTACTTCTGCAGCAAGTCGTTTCTGAGGGCCCCATTTTTCAGGTTCTTTAGCATGCATCTCCATGATGTGGTCAATCTCCTCAAGGGGAAGGAAGGTGAAGAGTTTCAGGTATCTATGAGCAAGGAAAAAATGATTTTGTCTATATAGCCATCAGTACAGACTTCCTGCCTTTGTCATCCTAATTTCACTGGTTACACTAAAATCACTCTTAGTCAATTTAAGAAACCCACATTACAGATATTCTGTCCTTTCAAACAACTCTTTGGTTTTGCCCACATGCTTCAGCTTACCAGGGTAACTCACATTTTAGTTAATATTCTGCCTAGGGTAACGTCTTCGGACGTAAGATCGTTTCAGATGCTTTTATGAAGCTGGTATTGCAATCAACAACTTTGTTTTCTTGAAACGTTTACAGTATTTATTGCAATTGTGTGTCGACTAACAAGGTTTTATATTATAGTCTTAGCAGTTGCACAATAAGTTAATGCAAATTAACCCTGCCAGCCTGTGTGATCACGGGACAGAGGTATGCTAGGTATTGACAAGTTTTTTTAGATTATTTAGGATCATCAGGAATTTAAAGGTGTGTATCTAAGTGTACTCTTTACAAGAAGTCCCTTTTAATGGGCTTGCAGTACCATGAAACGCAAAGTATTAGGAAATAAAGGGTACCTTTACTGTTACAAAATCTGAATGCATAAAACACTTAAACATTAAGTACTGACATACCTTTCTTACCAGTCAGAAAAACGTGGATGCAGAACCTAAATTTGAAATATCGGGGCATAAACCTTTGAGAAAGGTAACTGAGTTATGAGACAGGTTCAGTATAAAAGGGAAGGACCTGTCTGACGTTTATGAAGACTCAGATTTAACAGTGATACTGCAGTTTACAGAAAAGCAAATTTAGAAGAGACTATATAGCAACTTAGTAAAATTAACGTAATGCCTTGAATAAAGCTATCAACTATTTATTTTCAGCCACGTAACCAGCACACCAGCATGGAGGCTAACCAGCAACAAAGGCAACCTGTCAAACGGTATTCCTCTTATTTTCACTACCATTTCATGTTCTCATCATATGATTTTAATATTTTTACACAGGTCAGTAAGAATAGGAGTTCTGTGTGGTTAATATGGATTCAGAGATAGCACAGTGAATCCAAGACCACGTTTTGCTCATTGGACTTGCTCTACGCTAAGTCGTGATTATTCACAATTTTGTCTTTGTACGTGCTACAGCTTTCAGCCGTAACTGGACAGTGTAACTGTCTCCTATGCGTGTTTTCACCTAGACCAGTGGTCTCCACAGTGGGGTGCCAGCACCCCAGGAGGTATGCAAGGTGCAGGAAGAAAATTTTAGGACTTCCGTAGTACATTTATATAATGTATAAATAAATATACATATATTGGGAGCGCACACGCAAAATTTTTTTTTACTGATGGGCTGCATGATCCAAAAAATTCAGAGACCGCTAATCCAGACAGTTAATACAATCATAAATAGGAACTTCTCGGCTTTTCCCTAACAAAGCACTATTTCAATTTGCTTAGGGATATGCGGTTTCTCTTGTGATGCCGTTCTAGAAGCTGAACTTTATGTGTTTCTTTATAACCAATTAAGTAGCTTCTCACAATTAGAATGCGGTGTTTCTGAATACCTCATACTAAGTAAAAACTTGTAGTAATTAGTACCTATTAAACTGCAGTTGCTTATTAATCACCAGGAGAGATTTCATTCAATACCGTAGTGGTGTTACGGCACCGAAGCTAACATACCTCACAGGGTAAAGTCACCCCAGCGGCAGAACAAAATGCATTAAGCTTTACTTCTTTTTTCATCCACATTCTAATTCTGTGATGCGTATGCCAGCATATGAAGACAGGTTCCACAATCCTGTGTACTTAGCAACCAGTCATGCCTGTTTCTTTAATGAATGTACCGCTATAATTAACATATACTTCTACAACGAGCTCACGTATCCACATGAAACAGTTACAAAGAACAGTTAGGATCAGGTTTTATAAACAATGACAAGAAGCAGGATGGAGAAAAACTACTTACTTTTCAACTATGTTATCTTGTTGTCTGACAAAAAACTGATACAGCTCAAATGGAGAAGTCTTATCTCTGTTTAGCCAAACTGCATTGCCAGCAGTCTTTCCCAGTTTATCTCCAGTAGTACTGGTAATAAGAGGTACTGTAATTCCAAACACGTCTGTTCCTGTCATCCTGAGAAAGAGAGGAGTCACTGCATGTTAAAAAAAAAAAAAATTAAAAAATCGCATCTTGGTAAAGTTGACTAAAACATAAGCAGTCCCTAAGATTCTATCCTTGATACAAAGCACTTAAGTAAGACGGGGGGAGGTGAGGGGCAAAACATGACAGAACACTGTTTGGGAAGAGTGCTTTAGAAAAAAAAAACAAAACTTGAGCTTAAAAATTCAAGTTCTTTTGTGCATAACAAAGAGATTTCCATACTTTCGAATTTGCTAGTGCTGTTGCTCATGAAACTACTTATTTAAAGTATGGAAATCTCTTTGTCCTGTACGTTTGTCTTCTTCTCTGAGCACTAACTGAAGCTGCTCGTGTGGCTGGAACACTTGTAACGCTTTTCTTCCGTGCTGGCTCTCTCACACCTTGTAACAGACAAGCATGTATCGAAGTAGAAGCATTGCCATGTGTGCCTCGATTTGCTTGTATGTTTCTGTGAATTTTGTAAGACTCACACCAAATTTGGTGGATAAGCAAAAGCTCATCATCATCGGGTTTCACTTAATTTCTGAGAGAAGAAATACAACCATCGTTACCAATATACTACAACTGCCTCTGCTTCAGTGTGGTCACGCTAGAACGTGTTTGCCAGCAGAAGACCCATCTCAATTTTGTCCCACGTTTCAGAATGCCCGATTTCGGTTCTTGGGCAAACACGTTCACTAAAACAAGAACGCATCCCTTTTGTTAAAAGTGCATTAACATTTCATAGAATCACAGAATGGTTTGGGTTGGAAGGGCCCTTCAGGATTATCTAGGTCCAACCCCCTGCCATGGGCAGAGACACCTCTCACTAGACCAGGTTGCTCAAAGCCCCATCCAACCTGGCAAAGGTTTCATGGCTAGACACCACGGCCAAAATGTACGTAGGTGCATTTATCTTTAGCTGGATCAAGTTGCTCAGAACCCCATCCAACTTGACCTTGAATGTTCCAAGGGATGGATGCTCTCTGGCAACCTGCTCCAGTGTTTCACCACCCTCAGTGTAAAAAATTTCTTCCTTCTATCTAGTCTAAATCTACCCTCTTTTAGTTTAAAACCATTACCCCTCATCCTATCGCAACAGGCCCTGCTAAAAAGATTGCCCTCACCTTCCCTGCAGGCCCCCTTTAAGCACTGGAAGGCCACTATCAAGTCTCCCCAGAGCCTTCTCCTCCCCAGGCTGAACAACCCCAACTCTCTCAGCCTTCCCTAACAACAATTAAGATCAATTAATTCTTCTTCTCAAATCCCCCAGCGCTACCTAAAGCCAGCTCTCTGAGAAGCGACTCCTGCTCCTGGTGCTTTGGGGACTGTCAACACGAAGCTGCACTGAGCGAGGTGACCTGACGCCCTCACACGCAGAATCACACAGGATCGCAGAACCACCCGCCACCCC